AACTCACCTTTCTCTCTGTGGTGTCGTGTTCATTGTTTTTCTACGCAGGTCCAAAGATTGCCTCCAGCCATGCATATTCGCAGAACTTTCCTTTCCATTGTACGGAACTTACATAATTATTTAAAGAAGGAAGGGTTTGGTAATATTTTTCGGATATATTTGCATTCAGGTTCTACTCGCAACAATGGAGAACATGGGGAGCTTGCTTTATACAAGCCGCTTGGCGCCGATACTGCAAGAGGAAGCACGATAAGGCTTTGCGCGATGCAGAAGACAGGTTACATGATGCTTTAGCAAAGGATGGTGGCGCTTCGCCAAGCCTTGCTGCTACTTTATATGCATCAAGATTCGCAGCCAAGGCATTGAGTAATTTAAGGAAAAGTGGTAGCCCGAAGCCGCCGCAGAGGTTACCTCCGCTCATGCCTCAAAAGTCAAAAGCCAGCTGAACCTGATTTCACAGCCGATGGCGTTTACTAGAGATTCTTCCAACTCTTCAGCTCAATTATGGCACGGTTAGAGATGTTTCTACTCAGATGTGATGTGCACATAGACAACTTAGCAATATGATGCAGTATTTTGATCTCGGTAAATGATTCAGACTGTGCTGTAAAATGCCATACCTCGCCTCGAGAAAAGAGAGATTTTCTTGCACGCCCTCTGTTACCGTGATGTTTTGCTGAGTTCTCTTTTGTCATGTCAAAGAAGCTTAACTGTGTCGAATACCACCTAATCGCAGGCTTATCGAACCAACACAGGAGCGCAGTTGTCACTTCCCTATAGTCTTTACTATGAGAAATGTCCATAGTTTTCTCTGACTTCCATTCAGATATCAACATGATGTTACAAGGCAGTGATATAATCGGGTTCACTACCTTATCAAGTACATCGCACCATCGTGAGCATTAGAGAGGACGAGTTATTGAAGATTTTTCCAGGGCAGCAATTGAAACAGGCAAGAACCCCGAGCAATGCAAATGATCGTTTCCGAAGAATTCACGCAAACTGACCCCGTTGTACCATCCGCAAGCGAAGTGCATCTCAATTTAATGAAGATGACGCTTCTTTTAGCCCCCAAAACAATATTGCATGCACTTTGTGTGCTTTAAAACAGTGGTAGCTCAATAAAGTATCCACAGCAGGAGTGCACAATTCTGCTGAAGCAATATTCGCGAAACATAAAGCATTCAACTTTGTTCCTTAGCATGCTTGCGCTCGGGTCACAAGAATCTAAGAGAAGATCGATTCCAAGTTCAATTAATGAACCTGATAAATGAACGATTATAAGGTTTGTAGAGATTGCGAAAAGTTCAATAGATTTCTCCACATGCATAGAGAATGAGGCTACTTCAAGCTAAAACCATATTGATTTCGAAGAACAGCTCAAACACCAAATCACATAAATGACCAAGGAAATTTCTTATCAGCTCAAACACCAAATCATTGAAAATTGTTGCTATTTTTTGTTATTTTGAAATTTCTTTTTTATAATTGGAATTCAAATAGTACTTATATTTAATTATTGTTAATATTTTAATAATATTACTTATATATATAAATAGATCTAACAATTACATAATTTATGTCGATCCAACATAAAACTCAAAGACTCATTACATATAGGACCGGTTTGGAAAAGATAGTAGCGATGTCAAATCGAGATATATAGACCAAGCAATCGCGCGATACAAAACAAGTTAGGACTAATACGAAAGTAGAGATTTCTAATTTGGGTAGACCAATTCGTCACGCAAACAATGTATGCTCCTCTCATAGTGCAAGGTGAAAAAAGCAGAACACCAGCGGCACGTCAAGGGCTTCGCTTGAATACTATCCAAGGAACTCCATTCGGTGCCCCCTAATCACAAGGAGGTCTTGTTATGTCTTCACCGGAAAAATTGTCCAGAAAGTCTTAAACATATCGTACTTTTGTCAATTTTGATCGGAAATTGCTTACGTGGACATTTTGAATTAATATTTTTAGAATTCTTTATGATTTTTTTTCTTTTTTCCCTTTAATTTATTATTTTTTTCTGGATTTTGGTGGGATGGCCGACAAGGGTCGCCGGTCGACCCTTACTGGCCACAGGCGAGGGCATCGCGGCCCTTGCTGCCCACTAGCCGAGGGCTCGCCGCCCTTGCTAGACAAGGGCTTGGCGGCCTTGGCCGGCCAAAGCGAGGGCACACGAGCCCCCGCTCGGGGCTAGCGAGGGCCGCGAAGCCCTCGCTAGATCTAGGCAAGGGCTCGCGAGCCCTCGCTTTGGCCGGTGAGGGCATCGCAGCCCTCGTCGGCCATCCCTCCAAAACCCTAAAAAAAAGTAAAGAAAAGGGAAAAAAAGGATAAAATACCATAAAAAGTTCAACAAAATATTAAAATATTATTAAAAATATCAACGTCAGCGCCGGCCATGCCATGTAGGACGGCCAGCGTCCTCATAAGTAAATTTTAGGCCGAATGGACTCAATTGGCAAAAAGCGAAAAGATTTATGACTGAATTGGCAAAATGGAAAGGTTTAGAACTAAATTGGCAAAAGTGCAATAGGTTCAGGATATTTTAGATAATTTTCCCTGTCTTTACTACTAGCTTAAACTTGCAGAAATTGTCCAATCAGTCATAAACCTATTGTACGGATGCCAATTTAATCATAAACTCTCTAATTTTGCTAAATTCAGTCTTCAACCTTTATGTGAAATTATAATACAGTCATTTTGGCTATTTTTCATCGTAAATCACTGGCGTGGTGATATTTTACGTAGGATGACTGGCGATGACTAGACCTGTGCGTAAGAGATTTCCAGCGAAAATTGATCGGAATGACTATATTGAAATTTCGCGCAAACGTTTAGGACTCAATTGGTACAATCGAAAAATTTACAACTGAATTGACATTTGTACAATAGGTTGGGACTGATTGGGTAATTTTCTCAATAGTCATGCAAGGGCCACGGGTTAAAAAACGACGGAGAGAAAAGAATAACCAAACAAAGCGAGTGAACTTGCCATAGACAACGCATCGAGTTAGAATTTTATTAGCTATTGTTACATACTTTGAATTTTGCCCCCTAATTATTCACCAGAAAAATAAGGAAGATGAAAAACGTGGGGAGACGATTCGTGGAGCATCGACATCTGGTGACCTCCGAGAAGTCCAGCATCCTTTTATTGACTCGTGAAATTTGACAATGTGCATTTTCCCCCCTTGCGACTTGGTTTTATAAAGTCTTTGCACGAGTCCCATAATTAATTTCTCGATATTATATAGAAATAGAAAGATCATATTTTAATTGGCTTTTTCTTTTGTTGGTCAATATATTTAATTTGGCTTCGCTTGCCATTTTTTAATATTTTGCTCGGCTCTAATGAAGTTGACATTAGAGTCACGCTCTAGGAGCCGACCACCAATGATCGGAAGGCCTCTAGTCTCGAAATTTTAATTGCTAATGTTCCTTTCCATCGCAACTTGCTAACTAATCCAAAGACGAAAAATATCTCGGAATTCGTCGTTGAATTCGTTAAGGATTCGATACGGGTCGTGTCGAGCCGGGCCTCGAGGGCGTCGTCCTTTTAGAGGTGATCGAAAGGAGGGTCTTGGCTAGGCCCGGACATCATATCCGGACTCATCGTCCACACTCGCTCGTTGTAAAAAAAAAATTGTATTTAGATTTCGGGTCCAAGGCGAACCGGGATTTGCAATCAAATGATGTTTGATCAGACCCGTCCAAAAATTATCTCAGAACTCATCGGGTCCGACCGGCCTGGCCGACGAGCACGCCGTATTAGCGACTACTTAAGCAATATTTTATAGCTAATGATCTTTTATTAAGAGAGAGAGAGTTGACTAGCGAAGTCAATATCAAGAGCAACAAACGTCCTCTCTCTCTCTCTCAATCCGCGTCTGGCAAAATTTGTGGACCTCGGCGGCATTAAGATCGTATTCATGCATTAAAAAATCGTAGTACCTACGCAACTCTAGGACCGCGACTTTATTCTAATTCGCTTCCGTCGTTAATTAGTAAATTTTGCTAATAAAATACACTAAAGAGTAGACCGACCATGTAAACGGAGTCACGGTCCACCCCTTTTCTATCTAACATTATTTAATGTGGGTCATGCAAAACTCCTTTTGGAAAAGCAACATGGCAAAATCGTAAAGAGCAAGCTCGTGTGGTGTGGATCGAAGGTGTTCTGCTAGAAAAATCCGAACGGTCCGATGCGCATCAGATCTGATCGAACGATCCACGGCGAATTTGTAATGGCGAGCTCGCTATAAATGCTTCGGTTCCGAAATCAATTTAGCTCTTGATAGGTAGCTGGTTACTGTATGATCGCGCTAAATATACGCCAGATCGATAGTGAGCCCACTATACAAGAGCTACTTGTAATTGGTTATGCGGGATTTGTTGTCCTTGGATCCATGGTGTGGTCAAGAGTTTCCTCATTGAAAAAGGGAGCTTTCGTTCCTACGAGAGGCTCCATAAATGCATTCATTATTTTAAAGTGTCTTGTATGTCTCGCGCCCTCAATTGTCCAGATATCTTTGTCTTGCCCGTTGACATGCAATACCCCTTTGTTATCGTGATGATCTCGACGTCCGAACGAGACGACAGAGACACGAAGCCTTTTAAAGTCTTGGTCATGACCAATGAAGTTTAAATATTTACCTAGTCATTTTGTGGAGATTTTTCTGAGGGCTCTGATCCATTTTCCAAGCCTGACAGGTCCACGCAACGATTTTCCCAAGGGGCGACTCTTCTTTACGCTTCTGCTTCCGTGTTCGCCGTCCGTATGTCGCCAAGTTGAGTTATCATTTACGCTTCTGCTGCCGTGGTCGCCGTCCGTATCTCCTCGTCAAGTTGAGATATCATCAAACCAGTTACGTCCTTCTTCACTGGGTCGATGATTTGAACGTCACCGTGTTGGAAACGCAAAGACGCACTCACAGATGACTTTAGAAAAGTTGACATACGGGGGGTGTCCATCCACGAACTTTCTCCTGAAAGCAGACATTTTGAAGTCTCTCTCTACTGCTCCACGAACTCTCTCTCTCTCTCGTTAAAGCTCTTCCTCCTTTTTGTTGTTTCGCCTTCTTATGGGAAGACCCTGCTGAATTTTCATGATATTTGGACTTTTCTTCTGATGGAGCAGAGCCGAATATTCATGTCCATTCACCACGCGCATGAGCGGACAATTCTCTACGGTTTCATATAAGACCCTGCGGTCGCGCTCTCTTCCTCCTCTTCCCCACTCTGTTTTCCCGCCATTGATGGGAAGCAGAGAAAGCTCGTAAGAAGGGACGGAGGTTGGTAAAAGTAATCGCTGAGGCAAAAGCAACGGAGTTTTTGAAACTGGGGAGGTGGGTTTTTTGTTTGGTCCTTTTTGTTCACGGATAAGAATTGAGACGCCAGGCTTCTTTTGTTGTCTTCGCAGCGTCGTGTTCGAACCTGTTTCATCACATCGCAGCTTTTGTATTTTGATGGTAGTCGTGTCATAGGATGGATTTCCTCCATATTCTCCCGAGTTTCTGTCGCTGGGCCTATCTGTCTGAGAGGCTGAAGGAAATTGTTGTTAGAAACTCTTTACAACGTTCAAAGCGTGCCAGCCATAATTGTTTCACTTATGCTTCAGATGTACTGTACCAGATTGTTTTGCTTATTTTAGTTTTGATGGTATGCTTGCACTTGTTGGTTGTAGTAATTCAATAATCAGTTTTCGGAGAGCCTCATGTGGTTTCATTGACTGCAGGGCTTAATCTTCGATACCGATAGGTGTTAACAGAGTTGACTGAGTTCGAGGAGAGACTGCAAACTCTATCAGCGGAAGAACATGGATTTCGGGAAAGCCAAATTCGTGAGGTTAGTCGTCCTCTGGATGATCTGCTTAGTGGTGTTTGTTATTACTCCTGTCTATGTCGTATGCTTGCATTTCACTCTTATCATTTTCGGCCTCTTACCTGAGTTATGTCGGAAGATAGAACTTGTGCTCATGAAAATTGAACAATCACGAGCATTACCCATCTCTATAATTCTGAGTTGCTTGTTCTTTGGGTTGCCATTGTAAAGAAACATAGTCGTGGATAGTTGTCTGTACTTTCACTTTGTGATGTTACAGTTTGTAACCTACAAGCGGTTTTGATGCCTTTGTCGTTTCAAATTCTAACAAGCTCTACGAGAAGTTGATTTCATCTCCTCCTTGTGTATATCGTTTGGTCAGGTTCAAAGAATGCAATTCTGAGCAATCGTGGAACTCGGAGCATCAATATGCTGCTAGACACGGGGTTCGACCAACCAAATTTAGAATAATTGGGAACGAACTTTTAGATGGATTTCAGAGAGGACATGAGAGTTTTTGCGAAAAGATCAAAAGCTTGAGAATGCGATTGAGCTCCTCGCTCGTATCCGATAGATCGACTAAAGCTAAAAAGTATCACCCCGAGAAGAAAATTCTTGATCCGCAAGGGCCATTTCTTCAAAAGTGGAACAAGATATTCTTGATCTTGTGTGTTTTCGCGCTGGCTTTGGACCCGCTGTTTTTCTACATCCCCGTGATTGACGTTAAAAAGTGCCTTGATTCAGACCACAGAATGGGGATCATTGCATGCCTCCTTCGAACTGTATTCGATGCGTTTTACATTTTCCACATAATCCTCCAATTCCGTACCGGGTTCATAGCCCCTTCTTCAAGAGTGTTCGGAAGAGGGGAGTTAATCGATGATCCATCAGCTGTATCACGAAGATACTTATCGTCGTACTTCTTCCTTGATATCCTAGCAATTCTTCCGATCCCGCAGGTATGAAACCGTACCCTGATTCCATTTAATTTCTCCAGTGAAACGTAGTTTGGAGCATTATCCAAGTTATTATTAGTCCTTCACTTTACAGACCCTTTATTCGATCGGCAGGTCGTCGTATTTGTTATCATTCCCACAATCCATGGGTCAGTTCCTTTAATGACAAAGGAGTGGCTGAAGTTCATCATTTATGGCCAATATGTACCGAGAATTATGAGGATCTATCCACTGTACAAGGAAGTGACAAGAACATCTGGAATACTTCATGAAACAGCCTGGGCTGGGGCTGCCTTCAATCTTCTGCTTTACATGTTAGCCAGTCACGTAAGTTTCTATTTCAAGTTTTATATCTTTCGTTTTCTGAACCTTTTTTCAATCAGTTTAATTTGTGCCGGAACTGTCATGTTATTTTTGGAATTACCAGGTATTTGGAGCTTTTTGGTACTTATTCTCGATCGATCAAGAAATCAGGTGCTGGCACAAGGAGTGTCGAAGACTAGGATTTAACTCTTCAATTTTATACTGCAGCAGTGGGCAGAAAAACAATACTTTTCTTTACACTGCTTGTCCTCTGGTTGAACCCGATGACATTAAGAATTCGACAGTGTTCAACTTTGGAATATTCAACGATGCCCTCCAGTCTGGCGTGGTGGAGACAAAAGACTTTCCAAAGAAGTTATTCTACTGCTTTTGGTGGGGATTGCGCAATCTTAGGTACGTTTAACTTCATTGCGGCTTTCCTCCCTGATTAAGAGGACTAGCTTCTAAAGTCACCCTTTGTGCAGCTCTTTGGGTCAAAACCTAAAAACAAGCACCTTTGAGGGGGAGATTGTCTTTGCTGTCAGCATAGCTATAGCCGGCTTGGTCTTGTTTTCATTGCTCATCGGCAATATGCAGGTATTCTACGATCCAGCTCCAGTTCGGTTATTCTTCCCTACTAGGACATTGAATGACATTGAACTCGCAGTGATCCTGGAGCCCACTTTTGCAAAATGATTGAATTTGAGAACTCAATACATAAGATTGAGAACTTAAGCAAGAACATGAAATTAAGAACCTCAGTGGGTGCGTCGAACTAAAATTCCCAGAAAAACCATGTTGTTGTCACAGAAATATCTACAGTCCACCACAGTTAGAGTAGAGGAGATGAGAGTGAAGAGGCGAGATGCAGAGCAATGGATGTCGCACCGTATGCTTCCAGAGGGTTTGAAGGACCGAATTAGGCGGTACGAACAGTACAAATGGCAAGAGACGAGAGGTGTCGAGGAAGAATCTTTGATCAGGAACCTCCCTAAAGATCTCCGTCGAGACATAAAGCGTCACCTTTGCCTGGACCTTCTAATGAGAGTGAGTATTCTTTCGACTTTCTCTGTCTGTTGACACAATTGGACCTTTCCGATGCTGAACATGAAATATTGATCAAAAGTTTTAGACGCTTTGCCTGACTTATGGTTTCTTTCAGGTGCCCATGTTTGAGAAAATGGATGAACAATTGCTGGACGCAATGTGCGATCGCCTCAAGCCAGTCCTGTACACAGAGAAGAGCTCAATTGCACGTGAGGGGGACCCAGTCGACGAGATGCTCTTCGTCATACGAGGCAGGTTAGTGACCATGACCACAAATGGTGGAAGAACAGGATTCTTCAACTCAGTCTATTTAAAGGCAGGTGATTTCTGTGGAGAGGAATTGCTTACTTGGGCATTGGATCCAAATTCCTCCTCCAATCTTCCCACCTCAACGAGAACCGTAGAAGCTATTACAGAGGTAGAAGCCTTCGCGTTCACTGCCTATGACCTGAAGTCTGTGGCCTCTCAATTTCGGCGTCTTCACAGCAAGCAGCTCCAACATACTTTCAGGCAAAGCTCGAAACTCACCTTTCTCTCTGTGGTATCCTGTTCATTGTTTTTCTACACAGGTCCAAAGATTGCCTCCAGCCATGCATATTCGCAGAACTTTCCTTTCCATTGTACGGAACTTACATAATTATATAAAGAAGGAAGGGTTTGGTAATATTTTTCGGATATATTTGCATTCAGGCTCTACTCGCAACAATGGAGAACATGGGGAGCTTGCTTTATACAAGCCGCTTGGCGCCGATACTGCAAGAGGAAGCACGATAAGGATTTGCGTGATGCAGAAGACAGGTTACACGATGCTTTAGCAAAGGATGGTGGCGCTTCGCCAAGCCTTGCTGCTACTTTATATGCATCAAGATTCGCAGCCAAAGCATTGAGTAATTTAAGGAAAAGTGGTAGCTCAAAGACGCCACAGAGGTTACCTCCGCTCATGCCTCAAAAGCCAGCTGAACCTGATTTCACAGCCAGTGGCAGTTACTAAAGATTCTTCCTACTCTTTAGCTCAATTATGGCATAGTTAGAGATGTTTCTACATGGATGTGATATGCAAATAGATAACTTAGCAATATGATGTTGTGTCTTGATCTCGGTAAATGACTCAGACCTTGCTGTAAAATACCATACCTCACCTCGAGAAAAGAGAGATTTTCTTGCATGCCCTCTATTACCGTGATGTTTAGCTGAGTTCTGTCATGTCAAAGCAGCTTAATTGAGTTGCATACCAAATCGCAGACTTATCGAACCAACACTGGAGCGCAGTAGTCACTTCCCTAAAGTCTTTGAAAATGTCCATAATTTACTATTGACTTCCATTCCAATATCAATATGATGTTACAAGGCAGTGATATAATCGGGTTGACCACCTTATCAAGTTTATCACACTATCGAGAGCATTAGAGATGACAAGTTATTGAAGATTCCCAGGCAGCAATTTAAACAGGCAAGAACCCCGAGGGATGCGAATGATTGTTTCTGAAGAATTCACGCAAACCGACCCCATTGTACCATCTGCAAGCAAAGTGCATTTCAATTTAAATAAGATGATGCTTCCTTTAGCCCCAAAAAGAACATTGCATGCCCTTTGTGTGCTTATTACATTTAAAACAATGGTAGCTCAATAAAATATTCACCTCAGGAATGCAAAATTCTGCTGAAGCAATATTCGTGGAACATAAAGCATTCAACTATGTTTCTTAGCACGCTTGCGCTCGGGTCAAAAGAATCTAAGAGAAGATTGATTCCAAGTTCAATTAATTAACCTGAAAAATGAACAATTATAAGCTTTGTAGAGATTGCGAAAAGTTCAATAGATTTCTCCACACGCATGGAGAATGAACTTAGACTATTTCAAGCTAACCCATATTGACTTAGAAGAACAGCTCAAACACCAAATCACATAAATGACCAAGGAAATTTCTTATCATCATCAAATTCTCCTTCCAAACTTTTTACAATAACACTCGGGTGAAATGGCTCATCATTGTTCTAGATAAGAGTCACAACAATTTTACTTGACTCAGTTGACGATACACACTACACAGCAAACTGAAAATAATCAAGAAATTTCATTTTGTCTCGCTAAGTAAGAATTTGTCAGAAAACAAATTGCCTTGGGGTGGGGACTACAACAAAATTAGAGTCCTGTCATCGAGTAACGGGCTAAAGGACAAAGTTACACCTGGCAAATAAATGCTTCACTGAGCAGATAACTTATATGTCACACCTATCTTAGTTTTGTTCCGTTGCCTCCATCTTTTTCTCTTGAGCTAGGGGCTTGAGAGAGTTGCTGTGATGCAGGAATAGGTGAAACCGGTATCTCGGGAACTTTCAGTAATTTCTTGACCCCTGGCTGTTGTACAACTGCAACAAGTGGAAATAGACACAATGTCATTGCAACGAAGAATAAGATCCCATGATTTGACAACTCCGAACCTCAAGACCAGCCTACAAAATATATGAAATGCATACTTAAGTGCTGCAAGTTAACCGATCTTGTCTAATGTGAAATGTATTTTCAGTCTACATATTCAATAATGCTAGATGAACATCTACCGTCACTTTTGTCGTTTCGGCATGATTAATGCCAATTTAGTGCATTCAGAAGGTCAACACTTGCCATACACTATTTGGGCTCTTCACCGTCTGGAAGCTTAGCACAGCAGTGGAACGGGGAGAGCAATCTATATATGAAGCCAGAAGACAATACCGTCACATTTATTTGTCCTATTCGATTTTTATTAAATGAGACATTTTCTATGCCAACTTCGGATATCGCCAACTTCGGATATGAAATATCAAAACTGAAACCAAGTCCCTACCTTGCATCCAACATAGGGTTCTAATTGGAGCTTTTCAAGAATAAGTGGTGACTAATTTCACAAGGACAAGGAACATGAAAGAAGCATATCAATTGTATACCCAGAAGCTTTGGAAAGCAGTCCCCACATATGAATATTCACCAAGTTTGCAACTTATTCTCTTAAGGCAATTCTAAAAGTGGAGTACTGTTGGACCTCTTGCATTCTCATATCTCTTCTTTTTGAAGGTGACGATATAAAAGTGAATGCCGCAGTTAGAAGAACTGACCTAACCCAAATGCGAGGGAGAATAGGTTGGAGGTAAGCCAATAGCCAAACATCGCCTGCAATTGAGAAAGGAAAAGGAGAACTTTTAAATAAAGTCAAAATCTGAGACCAGAAGAAAGGAAAGAAGAAAGTAAAATTAACCATCAATATACTGATCAGCAAGAACGAACAGCTAGAAATACAAGCAACCAGTTAGAACTATCAGAAAGAAAATCATGATTCATGTGATAGATGCAGAACATAATTTGACAATACTTGGCAAGTAGGTGTTCATTATTCAAGCCATATAGGTCATTGTATACTTAGTATTGAAGCTAAACATGAAGTCTTCCCTTGCATCGTGAACCCCTCACTCCCCTCATTAGATTACCCCAAAAACAAAAATCAAAGATTACTGTTATCATCAATTCATCTGCTATATGCTTGAGCAGTCTCAGATTTGCATTCAGGTGAACAAAAGACTATTGATATGGGCAGGACCATGAAAACATAGTCCTAGGCATAATACCTTTGGGAAACACATCATAACTGGAATTGAGAGAACAGTAAGGATCCTAAAGAATATTTTCAGGGTACCAGCCACAGCGGTTCCCTCGAGTCCTTCTTCCAAGTGGAACTGATAAAAGAAAAGTTTAGTTCTGTCAGTCTATCAGACAGAAATCTATGCATGCAAGCAAAAGAAAGAACAAAAGTATAATCTTCAAGTGAAATTCCAGGTGCTAGCTGAGAGGTGGGGTCAACGCACATTGGATCAACATACAAGCTAAGTGAATAGCTCATAGATTCTAAAGACTTTATACTACCTCGTTAGATAATATGATCCATGATCTTTAGCTTTGCCGAACTTAAGTAAACAACATTGAAATGCTAACCTCCACAGCAATCCAGAAGGTCAGAGCTGTCAGGGTTGGTAGGATGTAAAGGCTATCTGGAGTAGCCAGATTGACAAACCAGAGAGTTCCACCAGTTTCAAAAGACGGAATTTTTTCAGCCATGTTTCTTATCTACATAGATCAAGTCAGTGCAGGAGCCTTGTAAACATCAATTGCAAATCAAATATCTCGCACATACAGCGTGAACTGAGGCTTGAATCTTACAGCAAAGAAAAAACTAATGAAGATGGGACCTCGAATCAGGATTCCTTTCAGAGGAGTGAATGGACTGATGCCATATCTGCAAAGACCAAGGTCACAATCAGAAAATTCTAAGGCAAATTCATGACAGGAAAAAGCCTTTAATGGGGACAAACTAGCAAATCCCCTTAGAACCAGAAGTTTAGATTCGCACCACACACTCTCTCTCTCTCTCTCTCTCTCTCTCTCTCTCTCTCTCATCACAAGGAAAGTTCCATCTCTTTCTCCCCCAGCTTTTTTTGTACATAAAAGACTGAGCTCATGCTCTTTCCTATGGCTAATTAACTTTATTTTTCACTGCTTCTGTCCTCATCCTTTTCTTGTGTCCGGACCAGTCAGCTTCATCATGCTTCCAATTAAAGCCATAACAGAGTTCAATCGCTCAACTTCATTTTTGCAAGTGATGACAATGAGAATCGAAAGCTTGTCCACTCTGTTCAACTACCACTTTAACTAATGTATGTATAATTATATAACACCCAAATAAACTCCACACACCATTAATAATCGAAACACAAAATTTACCAGAGGAAGATTAATTGACTTACAGATTGTCTAAACAGAAAAAGGAAAAGCTTACTCTTTGAATAATGATGTGAAACTTTGCAGGTACTTGGACGCAGCATCAGGAGCATTTGCCTGCAGAGTCAAAATACAGGCACAAGGTGACTAAGGTCATTCACTTGTAGAATATTTAATATTCTATGCACCAAAAAGTAGTGAGTTTTCACAGTTGATAATTAAGATGACCAGACATCAGAAGATGAGCTCAATGAGAGAGCTACGTCCGCTACTCGAGATGATGAATTAGAAATTCTAGATTAAAAAGGCATCTTTACTTTAAGAGATTGTTTGCTGTGCCAGCCAATGTTTTGAAGAGCAATCAAGCAATTGCTATTGTTGGAGCATCTCAGTGACTAGCAGTCAACAGCATAGCAGACCATGTCTCAATAAACATCAAGTAGAAATTCACAATCATTTTCAGGATAGCTTCTGATGCTCCAACTTCTAGCAAACAGTATAATGAACTGCAATACAGACAACAACTCACCGTCTCCCTCAATGTTCGATTCAACTCTTCCACGCGCGGTCTCATTAACTGCATAACACCAATTACTCATCATTTATACAAATAGGAGGGCCAAAGTTTGAGAAGCTCCAGATGTTACTGCCAAATGTAAGTTGAGATCATCTAGAAACAGAAGTACACACCTAGCAAACTATCCAACTCAAAAGCTAAAAGAGAAGCAGATAATCACTATCCCTTGAGCACCAGAAGAAAAATAACTAGAGTGGATGAAGTAATGGTAGTAAGAACCTCTAAAGTAGGCCCCATCCGTTCTTCTTCTTCTTCTTCTTCTCTCTCTCTCTCTCTCTCTCTCTCTCTCTCTCTCTCAAAAGCTAAAAGAGAAGCAGATAATCACTATCCCTTGAGCACCAGAAGAAAAATAACAAGAGCGGATGAAGTAATGGTAGTAAGAACCTCTAAAGTAGGCCCCATCCGTTCTACTACTTCTTCTCCAAGATCTTTTTCTTTATCACTTTCAGAAGCAAGCAAAACTCCCTCCCTCCCTCCCTACTACTTCTTCTCCAAAATCTTTTTCTTTATCACTTTCAGAAGCAAGCAAAGGAATCATCAATAAGCCAACCTGCTGTTGGGAAGGCTTTTAGGCATCCTGTGACTTCATCAAAGCCAGAATTGGCGGTGCTTTGCTCAGTAAAGCCAAGATCTTTTTCTTTATCACTTTCAGAAGCAAGCAAACATGCCTCTTAAATATTAGACCGGAACTTACATTGGCGACTAGAAAGTTTGACATGTTGAACATAGGAATATTAAAGAAGAGCAAAATATGATTTTTTTCGTAACTTTGCATGTCAGGATTCATTCCAAGTAGAGCTCTCCCCTTATTGTTTATAAGTTCAAAGGCTTAAATCTTCATGTTCCACTCTTTCTATGATATTATCCAAATGTATCGTATAGAGATTCTCTAGTTCACGTTTACACACTGCAATTACATAAAAGGTGATTTGATGAAATTCGCATAATGTTAATTCGACTATTCCACATTGAAGTTATATTTCAATATTTTTAGGTCTTACATTTCAACATATTTAGGTCGCAAGAATCGTCCAACCGTAAGTTAAGTATGTTGCACCATGACATGAAATGACAAAAACAATTATGGAGAGGCACATGATCATTGTACTACCTCTTCTAACATTAAGTAAATTGAAGCACCATGTGGTTTAGTAAAACAACAAAAAAAGCTGCTAATCTGAAATGGTAGGGATAAGGCATCATTGGCAAGAGTTCTTCAATACAAGTTGTCAATAATCGATTTTAAAGCCAAAAAATTGATAATAAGAATTATAATTATCTTTGTATTGGCTATTAGACTAAAATGAAATACATGAAGTATATAAAAATTCCAAATGCCTAACACAACAGGGCTTGAAAATTACACTGAGTTTTGCAGTAGAGCGCATTTGATTTATTTGAAGTGGAACTGTCGCTCCTCTGATTAATACAGTTGTCAAAACTATAGATGCCCACCTGATTCAAGGGAAACAAGTGAAAAGATATTCTTGAGGCAACATTTTCATTTTGGTGATAGGTAGGTGGTAACTTAAACCAGCTTTTGCCTATCATGCATTAACATTCACTTCTTTGATCCATTTCCACACCAGAAAAAGAACATGTCTTAAATTACTTAAGCAAAGCACACGAAACTGCTTATCTTGAAATAAAAAGTAAACTCCTGTATATGGTTTACCTTAGACAACACTTGATTTAGCAACATCAACCTGGTTTTTGGCGGATCAGATGAAAATATCACATGTAGATCTTGCGAACCAAGTATCCATGCAGAAGCATAGTGGACCAGTGGTAGCTTAGAAGCATGATAGCTAAATTAAGCATCAGTGACTAAGCCTGAGCCAGTCACTCATTGATCAGCAGCAAAGAACCACACTAGGCATCGAAACAATGAGGAAACAAAATTGTCATGATGGCTAAAGATGCCATACCAATTCAAGCCGGTAAACGAATGCAATGCACCGATCAGGTACTCAATTCCGGCAACAGGGTAAGAAGAGTCTGCCGCAGCAAGTGCCACCTCGCTCATAGCAGAAGATTGGGAAGTGACCACATCCATCACCATCTCGGGGGTTGCTTCCCTAACAGAGTCATCAATCTTAAACGAGCTGTCGTCTCCACTTGCATTAGACATATATCTACACAGAGAGGAGCTGATCCCAGGAGGCGGCACGAACAACAAACCCCGTCTCCCCATTGATTGAGGGCTGAGAAGATTCCTTGACCCCGAAGAAGCACGGGGCGATGAGTTGATCAAAGTAGATTGAGACAAATAATCCCTTTCCGGCGAACAGCAAATTGGTTCATCGTGGTTGTCATGGTGAATGGGAAAGAATGACGGACGGAGCCTTCTGGCAATTGAGGTTCCGGTGGCAGACAAACTGCGCCTACAAGCCATCTCCTTCTACTTCATCAATCAAGAAATTTCTCTCCTTTTGTATTTTGGTCTGAACACCAAGCAGTAATGTTTAGTCAATGCGAATCACTGGACAGATGAAAGAACGAATTTTTGGTGCAGCCATGTCTCATTCACGAAGTTATATTCAACGTAAAGCGAGCTAATTGGTCTCATCAGACAACTAAAGATCACAGCGAAAGATAACTCAAAAGGGTATCGAGAAAAATGGAAGCACAATAAAGGGGCGCGCCAGTTCGGCTCAAGTTTCAATTCCAAAGGAAAAGACGAACCTCGAATCTGCGGTTCTTGATTTCATCAGCGGCCGAACACTAAGGAAAAGCAAATAAAAGCGGCACAAAGCAAACTTGAAGACTTGAAAGTGGTCGACGGCGACGACGAGAGCGCGCATGAAAGTCGACGCCTTTGAGCAGTTCGCGGACGGCCAAATCGAGATCAAGCTTCATTCATGCCGCCACTGCTCAGAGCTAAGCAGTGAAGTCCTGAGTTCCTCCGCTCACCGAAAGCCCGATACGCAAATGTGTTGCACCGTTTCCACGCAAGATCTACTTTTTTATTTTCTTACTCTCTGTTTTTGGTGTTTCCTTTTTCAGGCAGAGGCTCTCTATTTTAGATTATTTAGAGATTCTATCCTACTTGAAAAATGAGCAGTATCGATCTGCCAAATTGGCCTCTCAACCGATTAACATTTAAGAAAAGTTTGTCACATTACTTGGTAAGTTGGTCTTAATAAAACTAGGTTTATTCTTTTAAAATAAAGTGCATAATCAGCTCAATTTCACTCGCTTAATATCGATATCTTTGTATTCAACGTTATTATTGCCCGTTGTTCATAAATTTACCTTTTTTCTTTGTTACTTTCTAATAATAAATATGGAAGATACCCATTTTAGCAAGCTCAAGCTCGGGTCATAAGCACCTCACTGGACGGCCAACACGATGCGAGTTCAATCGACCGACATGCTACGTAAACAAATTTTAAGCACATTAGAGAGTGAACTCGCACTAAATTGGAGCCTATCCATGTAGCCCCAAAAGTAGGGGGTCGAAACCCAGCTAACACAATCAGGTCAAAATGGCAGATTGTCCTTTCAGATGGTAGTCACAACCTAGTTTGCATCGACTCGTTGAAACACGAAGCACAGTGAGAAGATTAGATTACTCATATATCTCGCTTATTCTTGTTCATCCTTTCTTGCCTTCTTCATCTTTATCTTTGGACATCTCATTCTCTGGCGGAGAACTGAAGTTGGAGAATGCTTTCCTGCCAACACTCGTTGGGGGCTCTGTTTTCCCAGCATCATCTCGTCGAAACACTGAAAACAGGGAGAAATGTTGCTCCCAACCAGAAGCAGGTGAAAAAACCAGAATCATTTTGTTGAGACCCCGACATATTCGTATATGGACTGTACCTGCTATCAATGGTCAAAATGTACTTTTGAGTATGATGACCACAACTCTCTCGAGCGACTATGAACTATAATAGTAACAATGAGTCTTGAGAGTTCTGTTTTCTCTCTTTTTTTGATAAAAAAAAAAAAACTCACGCAATTTTTTGACTGCCTCACTAGATATGTTCCTCAGCCGAGAGCAAGAGGATAGGTTGGAAGATTATATATTCGAAATTATGGTCGAATTTGCAGTTACTTGCAGTATTATTGTCCTGGGTTGTATACTCAAACGCGTAGGATGATTTCGTATCTTGAGGGGGAAGGGAAACGAAAAGCGACTATCATCAATGCAAATCGCAAAGATTGAGACATTATTCTGACTTGATTAATGGGTCACTCTGATCTTTAGAATTATATCAAGACATCGCATTCAAGATGATTGCCCGCAGGCGAAGGCCTTGCAGTACAGATTCACCCGTGCGAAGTTCTAAAGTATCCTTTACTCCAAGAGTCTTTGGCTTCTACCGCAGCTGAAATAATATCTTGGATATCAGAAGTACATGTCAATAGATCCACGATTCGATTATGGCCCTGCATCCAAACACAAACGCATTTTTTGGAAAATTAGACGGATTTATATTGTGAATTTTACGGGGTAAATCCAGTCAGTAATAACGTGACAAGTGCGTAAAATTCATGTCTTTTCAATTCATCACACATGGGGTGGGCAAGTATTACTTGGAGCAGTCGGTTTTGCTGTCGATGGGAGGAAGAGTCATGGAGGCACCACAATTCTGAGGCAGGACTGAGATGAGCTTGGGCTGATACTCAACATTAGCCAAAGCTTCCTTGACGCACCCGCATATGGCTTGTCGATCGCCTTTGCTCTTGGCCTTGTTGCTCATGTCCACCACGCCAGTGCAGCAACTCTGCGATGGAGTTGAGCCCTCGCCTCTCAAGAACGGCAAGCAAGGCAACAGTTCTACCACCACAGTGATGCACGGAGGCACTAATGGTGATGGTGATGGCGGTGGTGTTGGTGGATCAGTGAAGGCCGGCTTTGGGTGTGCTAATAATGACGGTGATGGTGGTGGAATTGGTGGTGTAGATAATTCATGACCGAAGGCTGACTTCGAGAATACGGGGACTGTTGTTAATATGAGGAAGCTGAGTAAGTGAGTCTGCATTGCCTGATCTCCTACCCTGGTTTGATTGAACAGACTTGCAATACGAGAGTATGATATCTTGATTCGAGGCAGGTTTGATGCTTTTGAGTTGAGGATAGAACACTACTTGTACTGAGTTCTATATATATTTCTGCTGGGATGGTTGTAATCCATTTTGGTGTTCATGTTTTAGGTCATGCACATTTCATGGTTCCTAAAATCCCTTCAGCTTCACGCGTCATCTGAAGAAGTTGTGAGCAGTTAGCATGAGCATGTCAATGATGGTCAAGATCGCATGAGCAGTCATATTTGCGTGTCAGCAAAAGGTCCATTCATCTCCTTACAGGATTTTGAGAAAAATAAGGCGGTGCATTGAGCTATATTTAGCCTTAAATATAGACAAGTATGATCATTGTAAGGGGAGAGCATGAGACTCTTTTAAGTAATTTCATTTTTAGAAGATGAGAACTGAATTCTCTTTCTACACAAGCGATCTCGGAAAGTCAATGAATAAACTGCAAATGCGAGGGTCGAAATATGGAGGTTCTCACAAGAGTGTGTCGTGTGGCTTTGCCTGTTAAAGTCAATTGTTCTAAATTCCAGCAAGATTTGCGCCTGCATTTTGTTATTTGGAAGAAAGCATGGACTCAATGTATTCTGTAAGCAGATGCACAGTTTATGTTCTTGAGAAAAAACACCCGGAATCAAATCTTTTCTTCAAAATAATTTGTGTGGTTAAGAGGATTGACCCTGTAAGTTTAAAGAAAGTTGAAAGAAGAAAAATGGCCGTAAGCTATGGAGGTTTTGCACCAGTACAGCGAGAAAAAGTTAGAGATCCATCAAGTATCATCAGGAGGGACCGGTGACGCAGAGTTCCTGCAAACCGGACACATACTGCTTATCTTGAGCCATTCATCGATGCACTCTGCATGGAAGCAGTGTGTACACTTGGGTATGCACCTTAGGATCTCTTTGGGCCGGTACTCAGCCAAGCATATCGGGCAAATATTGTCATTGGGTCCTGAAAGGCGAAGACTCTCACCAAGTACTATCTTTGTGAAAGATTCGATGGTGGATTCGTCCAGGCCAACCGTCACAATGCTCGGTTGTGGGGTCACCGCGGCTGGATCGATGCTCTGCAGCGAGTTGCTAGCCCTGTTACTGCCTAGTCTTCGGTCCGTGCAGCAAATGAAGACCCCGATCCCGATGGAGCTAATGATAGCTGGCAAAGCAACTGTGAGGCATATAATCCTGAAAATCAGGAGACCCTTGCTTGTTCGATCTGAAAGCAGAAACCATTGAAGACAGAAGGCATAAATGTTGGTGAACATAAGAAGCATGGTGGTTTGAGAGTCTAATTGGAGGGTTGACTATGGGCCTCATAGAGAAGAAGTCAATTAACAATACAATCGAATTGATAGCTGTGCAATCCTGTACAGCAAGGAAATGACGTCTCAGAGCTCGTTTTTTAATTCTCTAATATGGTTGACAATGCGTGCGATAGCCATCACTGCTTATAATCTATGGGAAGAGGAAAATTCCTAGAATACTTAAAATAGCTCTCTCGAGTTTGAAGTCTATTACCACCACAGAGATATGGGATTGTTTATTGTGAAGTGTCCTAATCAATACAAAATGGAGTTGCAGGAAACTATACAGCTGTGTGTTCACCAGGTCTAGGACCATTGTACTGGGTCCGCCAAGAATATCCCGACCCGTCTAAGTGAGGCAATGACAGTCAGATGAAATTTTCAACAAAACTTCGTAGCATCATATGGTTAAGAAGTTGGATGAAGTTAACAGGTCATGACTCCGAGGATCTAAAAGAAAACCGTCACCTGTAGCTGGGATGCTGAAACAACCGATGTTCTGACTGCCATTGCTCGCAAATCCACACATGCCACCCTTCATCTCACAATCTATGCAGTCAGGCGTAAACCAGGAGAGCAGAAGATCCTGATTCAGGTAATCTGAAGGGCCCTGATCATATTGAACGGGCCAAGACAGCGGGATTGGTCGACTGACCATTATGCTGCAGACCGCGGCCATAGTCTTCACGAAGCTCTCATCCGAAGATGCAAGAACGGTGCGAGTACTGTTACTGAGGCACGCAATGGCCGAGTACGTGAGCTTCATCGGACAGTCAAGGAACGTGTAGTTCTCATAATAACTGGCCGAAAATGGAGAATCCGAAAGATTCAGCTGAAGAAGTCGTTTAGGGAGGCAATCCCCTGGATCATAGAGCTGTATCTGCTGCATGGGAAAATTTATCTCGCGGACAAAGAATTCACCGGAATGACGAAGTCTCAGGATTGTTGTTCCTCGGCCGTCGCAACTTAACTTGAAGCCCGGGTACCCGCAGCTCTCGGGTTGCTGACTGCTTTCCAAACAGAAGGGAAACCGAATTGGGATGCTGCTGCCACCGCCGCAAGCCGTGACCGAGCAATTCTGTGCGGCGGTTCTGCTCTGGAAGAGGAAGAGAACAAAGAGATTGACTAAGATGTACATGATTCTGAAGGGACTTGCCTTAAGAATGAAACAGGCATATATGCAAATATAAGTTGCTTGTTATCAAGTTCAACACCCTATTAATATATATTACCATTACTAAAGTCAAACTTCATGGCGAGTTTTTTTTTTTTTGGTCGGAAAAAAAATAAGTCAAACTTCATGGCGAGTTGTCTTGGTCCTGCATCAAAGCAAACCTCTATAAAATATTCCCAACAGGATCCGATTCCCAAGGTGACGACGTTTGCCCAGAAGCCAGAGCTTAAAAACCGACAAGAGGTTTGCTAGGAAATATCTTTTCCATCAGAATGTTGAGAACAATTTCGTCGATATCGGAGAATGCCCGTACAAAAAGTCTGCAAAAGACAAAGGGCTGATTCCCTCGGAGAAAATTTCAAATCAATATCCAAAGTGAGGTCATTTTCTCAAAAAAAAATTCAAAATAGATATAGTGTCAAATAAGAGCCTGAAATGTCCAATCAGTTTCAAATAAGGATCTGAAGTACCCAATTAATCTCAAGTAAGGGCCTGAGTTCGTCGGCCGGTCAAATGTTCACCGTCCAGCAAGCACGTGACTATTTCGACGATCGGAATAAGGACAGTTTCGTCTTTTACTTTTTAAATTTTTTTGTTTCTTTTTTCCTTTTTCTGTTTTTTTCTTTTCCTTTTCATTTTTTTTTCCTCTCTTCCCTCCGCTCATCATGACCGAGCCGTTGAGTCTGGGAATTAGGCAAAAGAAAAAAAGAAATGTACGTAAGCGGTTTCCTCGTCGAAAACGAACAACATAGATTTGCATGTCCAGGTCTTGGGCCTTTCCGGCCCGACCCGACTATCCTGGATTGACCGGACAAACCCGTCCAGCATAAACCCTCCTGAAAACCCTAGCTGGCTTTCGTTCTTTACAGGGCTGACCATGTCTGCTTTCCTGGCAATGGTAGCTTAGCTTAGCTTAGAGGAAAAGTGCGAAATTTCTCCACTTTTCCTCAAAGTTCTTCCTCCAATTGGAAAAAACAAAAGGGGTGTTTTTTTGGGGGCTCTTCTTGGCCGTTTTGGTGCATGATGGTTTGTTGGGTTGTGGCTTAATGTACCAGAGCGGCTCTCTGTTTCATGGAATTCAGCAGAGGGAGCTGATGAAAGCATTTCTTATATGTCAATATCACTTTCATGGTGGTTCTGGGTTTGTAGCAGTTGGTCCATTCTTAGCTGATTTTTCGCGCATAGGTTACAATTTGCACGGGTTCAAGATTCCTCATAAAAACCAGTCTTTTGCATTTGCTCAAACAGTCTCTTGTTTGTGGAGGAGATACTGCTTATGCTCTGTCTGGGAATCGGTGATCAGTCATTAGTCATGCCTGCATTCTGGTTTGTGTGTTGATTGTTTGATGTTGGGACTTGGATGTGATGTTTGAAAGTAAAAGGTCTGAGCAGGACTATTTTTGCCTAGCTAATTCCAAAATTAAGAGGGCCCCAGTCCTTGCTCAAGTTGTGGCATTGCGACTCTCGCAACCTCTTGTACATTGATCTGGCCATGCTTGGCATCCTTTTGTTGAGTATGGTCGTGGGTTGATTATAAAGGCGTGGGTTGCATTCTAATATTGAATGCTTACCTAGACTTCTCCCGACATGATTCGCATACTCCTGCATTGATCAGAATCCTCGTACTGATCCTTCGTCCCTTGTTTACGCGCATTCTGTCTGTTCCTTGTGGCATTTATTCAAGTCCGATGCATTCAATGTAGCTTAAAGGACGAATGTGGGTGACTAGTGAATTCGATACGTTTCTACGAGTCTGAACAATATGTCTGACAAGGTGTCTTCTTAGAGATAATTCAGCTTATGAAGTTTGCAGGGTGGTCATTAAGCTGTTGTGTTGATCAAGGTTCTTTCTAATGACGCTCATCTGCCTAATCTGTTTGATGTGCAGGTCAAAATAGAAAGGTAGCTTTGTGATTCGACCGATTCCTATTAAGTGGCAGCTGCAGCTGTATTTGTTGCATTGCTGCACTATAAGTTGAATGCCCCTTCAGGTTGCCATAGCACAGCAAATCTGTTGTTTTCTTTTACAATCATGTAAATCGACATTGTAGTAGACCGTCACACACTTGTGGATCTGAATTATCTAGTCAATGTAAGTTTTATGTATACAGCAATTGTAAATGAAGTCCGTCTTGTAAGTTGTTGCTGAAGGAGCAAAATTCGTGTATTCAGTTTGAGAGCTAGTTTCGTTTATTTTTATCATAACTTGTGGGTTTCTCTTGTACGATCGCATCCCTTCTTGCCTTTCCCTGTACTTTTTTTATTTCTTTGGCTTGTCTGAAAATAAAATGAAGCTACATTGCTCATGAATAAACAAAGCAACACAATTGGTGTAAGCCTGGTAGTGAAAAAATGGGCATAAGCAAAGAGATGAGGATCATTCTTGTCATGCTTTTGCAAAGTGAAGTTTTAGCATTGAAAAGTACGGATTCTTATTTACAATTTATTACGGCGAGTGCATTCCATTCTGTTATTGTTGGTTATATCGTTTACCCCCTGATTCATGGTAAAAACGGAAGTATATGTCTACTTATACAGGCTATGTGAGTTGTGTATGAACTTTGTACCACTCTGCCTTTCCGAATCTTCCTCCTTCCAATCAAGCAACTTTTAAATGAAACTTGAACTCAGAAAAACTCATACGTTCATACCCTATTCTTTTTTCCCTTTTTCACGACGATGCATCTGTTCTCAAACACATCCGAAAATCAAATAGGTAAGAAAATGAATGTAATACCTGCACACTCCGCACCACGAGAAAAAAAAAAGCACCAAAACTTTACATACATATTCTGATACTAGAAGAAGTCACTAAAGAGGAGAAGCAGATTGCACACCCTGAAGAGCTTGCAAGAGGAAGCTGAAGCTGAAATGGTATGCTTTCTGATGAGCAACACCCGCACATTCAGAAACATATTGGGACATCCTTGCAGGAGAAAATTGGCATCGGCTTGTGGGTAGGTCTATAGTTCACTTCCTATCTGTGTGATGGCGGCCTCACTTCTGAGCTTTCTCATGATATTTATCAATGCAAAATTTGAGTTTGGTCAGTGTCACCCTATTTCAAATAATTCATATGTAACTTAACAACAGTCAATTAGTAATATAAATAGAAGCCAAGGACGGACCTTTATTTGGCAATGCTTCTTCAATGGGATTCATCTGGAAGGCAGAAGGCACGTCAAGTCTCGTTGAATTTCTTCTTTTCATCCGAAACAAGACTTCTAGAACGATAACTGCTGCTATAACCAAGCTGACTAGAAACCCATATCCTATCTTCCATTCATTCCCTGCATGCCCTGCTTCTGTCCCCAGCACAATGTTTATTGCTCCAAAGAAGAGGGTAAGTCTTCCTACCCAGCTGTGGTACCAATTCCAGTACCTTCGAATCTTGGCATCCTTGTCCGGCCTCAAAAAGAACGCCAATATCTGAAAATAGAATAACACATTCAGATTAGTAAGCACCATAATTTCCAAATGTAGTTATCCGATGAGACACTTCATATCGACTCCTTATGATCTATTGGGTCTTTTCATTGTCATGCAGGACTTGTCAAATTCATCACAATCAGCTGGATAGAGCAACCTTTCTTCCAATGGCGTAGTTTTTGTTATAGGTAACCAAATGGCAGCAAGTATTTGGTTATAGAAGCCACATTCACTGGGCAAATTTGCCAAGTGATGGGGTATCAAATTTTGGAGGCATGAATCATGATCTCAAACTCAGCGCGTTTTCAGAATTTAATATGATCAAGTTAAGCGAACCTGAAGAATAGTTAGCACAAGAACAAAAATCCCAATTCCTCTGTGGTTTGGTATGTCAGGATGAACTTCATTGTAGAGTTGCAGTCCGACTACTACAGCTGCTAGCCCGATGATAAACCCAATGAACTGTGTCATTGTATGAATGTAATACCACTGGGGATCCTTGTGCCTGAAGTATCTGGCAATTATAGCCCCAATGGGAAGGATTAGACCCCATCCAATTAGGGCCAATGCCCCATGGGTTCTCTTTCTCTCCCTCACATATTTTGCTCCTGGTGACGTTGAACCTGCACAGAGTAAAAATGCAGTCACTGATCTGGCTGAAAGAAAAAAACATTAATGCCTTTTGTGCCGTAGCAGCTGATCCTGAATAAAGCAACAGATGGTAATTATAAACTGAATGGTGATTAACTCAAAATTAACATTATATGTTTGGAAAGACAACATTAGCTAGTTCAGATGATATATATTGATTGCTTCATCAAAGATGTTTACTCCTTCACCACCCTCAGTCAAAGCAATAAGATGAAAGACTCCAAAGCTGAAATTGGTGTTGCAATATTCAAAATGGAAAGAGCATAATCAAGGGAGGATAAGAGATCTAGTAGAGTGCCATGAACCTGCTACAAAGTCGACATAGATTGCTGTTTTATCGACATGATGAGTAAGTCGGTGATGCTTCGGATATGCAGTTCCAAAAGCCAAAATGACTGGTTGTCTGGCAAGAGGTTTGCTCAATTTCAGCTGAAAAGCCACGTAAATTCTAGAGGAGTGGAGTGCAACAGCTGCTGGAACTCCACTGAGTGGCAATTCACCTTTGCCTGGTATAACTTTAGAGGCAACAGTACCTTGCAGGTAGTACTGCATGATTTTTGGTTGGCCTTTTCTGTTGAACCATCCAACCATTGCACTAGAGCCAACCATCAACCCATCCTTGGAGAAACCAATTCCAACCCATCCCGTGGTGTATACAGCAGATAACACAATGGTCATAGTGCCATCTTCACTCTGGTAATGCTGTGGCAAATGAGAATTTTAGTCAGCAAGGGGTGGTTCTGCTATGGTGAAAATGGATCTAGCTCTGATGTTTCTCAGCAAATATAATTGTTTTCTTTTGGTCATGCTTCAGTACCTTTCGATTTAATTCTTCTATCTACTAGCTGCCACTATCAAGTGCAAGTTCATGCCTTCCTATGAGTTTTAGCAGGACTTCTCTGTTCCTTCAACAGGAAACTAGTACTAGAACTCTGTCAAATTGGAACATGCCTTCAAGGATAGCTTGTAGGCCGATGCATCCAGACAATTCTTGAAACTAGAAGATTTAGGAAAATGGCAAATAATTATGACTTGCTAGTTCTTAACTTAGAGACCCGTTAACAATGCTTAAGAAATACCAATTATGCGGGTGTTTGATTGCAATCCGTGGCTTATGGCATCCAGTCTAATCTGACTAAACAAGCAGAAAAAATCTACCGTGTCAATTGCCAAGAAATTTACTCAAGGTCCGTCCCCCAGCTTAACTGCTCAACTCCAAAAAGAAACTAAATACAGAAATTTACTTTCGGTTCAGACATTATAAAACAAACTAGTACAAGGTCCCATCGAACTGAGGCAACTATGTCTCTTTTTTTCCTGAAAAATAAGTGCCTCTGCGTCCATAAGAAGCTAATTCGGCTCAGTTATCTTAAATAGAAAAAAGAGAATGACAGCAGCTATCTACTCTACCACCAATAAACACCCTGAAGAGCTTCCAGACATTGCCTCATTACAGGCCAAACAAGATTGAAAAATGCAAAGTCCCGTCAAAGAAATTTCACCGATGTGGTTAAAGTTAAAGTTAACTCACTCTCAGAACAAAAGTATTCCAAACGGTCATGCAGATCAGTTTGGATTGGGAAATGTTACTGTACGGTGGAGGAAGCAAGACTGAGAGATCGGTCCTGCACTCTTCTGATCCTTCCTCATTTGATCCAGCGCCATCAGCCACTGCAAACATTTCATGTTCCAGCACAAAAATGAGGACGCATAGCCTGAAAATGAACCTCGCAAGTAAGACCCAAGATCCAAAACCTGCCATTAAAGCACTGTGCAGCTGAAACTAGATCTAAGGTTTCTAGAAAAGAGAGAAACCAGATCAAAGATCAAGAAGTGTGATCGTAGAATGTGAAGGAACTATTGGCGGTTGAGAGGTATCGGTCTCTTGTATGTGAAGCTTAGGGAGAGGGGTGGGTGGCAAAGATGGTGGTTAGTAATCATGTTTCCCTCCAAATTTTGGAGGGCTACTAACTACCCAACGGTAATGGGCTTGCTTAATCTTTCCGTCAGTAGGTCATTTTTTGCACAAACTTGTGGGAAAGATCAAATTTTTCCACACAAGGTACATAATATGTCCTTCGACTCACTTTAACAATGTTATTACCATTTTATGCTACTTCTAGTCCAATTTTGGAAATTTATCTTCTTATGGGGTTTTGTGGGAAATAAAAATTGAACGTTAATGCTACCCTATAAGTTTAGCCAATAAAGGAGAACTTCACCATGCAATAGACTTGTTTTTTGTTTGTAACCCATAGTTACTTCTCAATCGTAGAACCTAGGATAATTATCCAAAAAGTCTTAAACCTATTGCACTTTTGCCAATTCAATCATAAGCCTTTCAATTTTATCAATTGAGTCCTAAACCTTTTCACTTCTTACTAATTGAGTCTATCCAGCCTATTTTGGTCGGAAATCGCTGACGTGGATGTCAGTTGGCCACATGGCGCTGACATGGATATTTTAAAATAATATTTTAATAATTTTCTAAATTTTAATGGTTTTTTTTCCCTTTCCTCTGTTTTTTTTTTTTTTTGGAAAATTCGACATCCACGTCAGCGATTTCCAACCAAAATTGGCCGAATAGACTCAATTGGCAAGAAGTAAAAAGGTTTAGGACTCAATTAGCAAAATTGAAAGGTTTATGACTGAATTGGCAAAAGTGCAATAAGTTTAGGACATTTTAGATAATTTTCCTGTAGAACCCGGCTACTCTATAAGAACCGATATCTCAACCTCCTTCTCTTCTCAGTGGTATGTGTATTTAAACGTGTTCTTATTGTTAAGGCAGATACCGTAGCGAGGGATCATGTATGCTAACACTAGGAAGAGAGCATGCAAGAGGCTACCTCTCGTGAATTTTTACGGGAAAGATTTTTGGGCACCTAAGTGTCCCCAAGACTTTGCCTTTTGGAGGCCCACCAGCCACATAGAGAATAGATGTTTAGCCTTTCCATTGCAATATTTCAACAAATAGGCACTGATGTCCACTTGTCTTGCAATGTACGATACAGCAGAAAGGGTTCACCTCCAAACCCCTGGCGAAAGGGATGCCGGGTTACCAAGATAGATCAGTTTATTGACTTCAATCACACATTTCCTGCTAAATATCTTCATTCATAATTAGGTGGAAGCTGGAATGTATCCAGCTGAAGCTTCATTGCTATTTTGAATTATGAAGCGAATAATTAATATAATCCTGTGTTGTCATTGAAGACATTCCTAAACAACCCGCGAAAAAAATGCGATTTTCAGTTGAAAAAGAAATGAATTTATGCTTTGTCAAACTCATCAACCTTGTAAACCCATTTCCCCATCTGGTGCGTGGATAAACATTTCCGCCTATAGTCTGTACGAGTGTTCGTCAATGTTTGTGTTCTATAGATCCATGTGTGGGCGTCTGGGTCGTTGCCAAAATTAATGGCGACTCTTAGAGGGCGAAAAATGTCCTTGGATTTAGAAAGAAGTAAATGTGAAGTCTACTACCAAAGAATGGACAGTATACAGGCAAAGCTAATATGCTGACATCCCTCAAATGAATGACCAAGAAACGCATGGCAAATAGGCCATCTGCCCCTACACTAAAATCTGCGTATAAAGAATCGGAATCTCCAAAACCCAAGAACTGAATCGCAGCTGTCTTAAACTCCAATGCGTAATCGGCACCCCTCTACTTGGACCATGAAACAGCATCAATCTCTGTCTGTGCACTTCTGTATAACTCCAACCTCTTAGCGAGGGAGGTACGCCGCTGCATGACAGCTGGATCTTCGTTCAGCAAAGAAGCTAACTGCTTAGCCTGCAAATTAGAGAACCCAAAACGAGGATGGGAGTCAAAATTCAGAAAATGGGTAAGGACAATGGTTGGGGGATAAAAAACGGACAATGAAGAAAAAGAGGGAGATCCAATCATCTTTACCTCCTTTTTACCCAGTTCAGCAAAGAAATAATCCATTAAGCTACGTTTGGCCTCGCGTACTTGACAGTAGACAATGGACTTTGGAATGGAGTTCCTCAAAGTTGCACAAACCATGTTGATGTACGAGAGCACGGTCATCCCTGTGTTGTTCAGGGAGATGTTACCAATATAAATTGATATAGCTACCAAAACCTTCACTTATTTACAATTTACAATAGATCTAAACCTGTCGGTCTCCAGAAATAACAGATGAATCTAGCTTCTCTTAATATGAATCCAAGAAAAGGACAAACTAAAACCTTAAAACGCCTCATTGACAAAGACAAACAGTCACTCCATAATGTGTGAGAGGCCAAATAAAGCCTAGGCCCAGAACTCTAATGCGAACAAATTGAAAATTTTCTCCACAATTCCTCATACTAGTGGGACCTAACACTATACATAACCCCATGACTTACCAATTCGTCGGAGATATGCATCATTATATCTATCGAAAATCGAGTGCGTCGGATTTCCACCCTTCTCAATATCTTGGGGAAGCTTGCGGAAGAATTCGACTGTCAGGTAACCAGACTCCATGTCCACTAGCTGAAGCGTTGCTTTTCTGCTTTCTTCTTTCATTCTGTCTAAAGATTCACAAGCTGCAGAGGTAACTTCCACCTTCAAAGAGGGATACTGCTTTAATTCCTACACCAAACAAAAAGTATATTGAGCATGTCTACCGAAATTTCAGCATATAATTTAAACAGAAAATAGAATGCATTTATAGTAATCATAATTGAACACTCTAAACATAAACCTATGATAATAACTTGCTGTCAATGCCTCATTCTGGGCAATTCTCATGCAGAAAAATAAAAAAATAGTTTTGTCACAGGATGGGACTTGCCACTGTCTCGCTGATAGCCTTGTGAACCAACTCCTTCAGTATCGCGTGTACCTAATTCAGCAATCAGAAAAGAAGCTATTATTATCAAGAAGGCCAAGGCAAACATGCTATTCAGTAATTCTCGAGCAATTAAGGGGGCACACACTTGTGCCCGCATGTGTATTTAGAAGTGCGTGAGTGTGCACACTAGTGGACTGTGGGCATGTCTGACTGAGCGGTAGAGTGCAGTTCCATACATGATATATTGGAGAAACCAGTTACATATTTGTTTAAGGAAACGGTACACCTTGGGACTCGAATGACTATCACTTGGAATTAGAAGTGTCGATATTGGGTGATACAAAATTAGATGATATTGCATACCGCATTGACAGCAGCCTCAGCAGGACCTTTGATAGTACCTAAGGAAGACTCAATAAGGCGACGATATCCCTGTTCCGGAGCTATTAGATGCGGTTGATAACCATCAGCTTCTGTGATAAGTTTTCTCACATGATCCATTGAAAGATTTTTGTCGAATTGGAGTCTCTTCATTGCAGCGGGAAGTTGGTTATCAAACACATTGTATATTTTATCACCACCAGGGCGGCTGTAGAGATCAGTTGTCAACGGATCATAAGAAATATGGAAGCAACACAAATTTTAACAGATCACTGACAATATTTACAACAAAAATTATATAAGTAGAGTACATACACGCCATCGAGATGTTCTTTAAATATCTGATCAAAGACACGGCATATTTCCATGATCATGTATAGTTTTCCCTGCATTAATACAAGTACGTTTTATAGATCACATTACTTTAATGCTGGCAAAATCTAATATAAACATAAAGAATGCTGACTTAAACTCTGAAGTACAAATCCATAGAAGTGAAAAGGACATGACAGCAGGATCAGAACGGTAAAGCAACTCTATAAATAACAGGTATGTAAACAAACTTAGCATGCTTACTCCAGCATCAGTCGCTATAGGCTTCCCAAGTCGGCTCAGTTCTGTTTCTAGTTCAATAATTGTCTTGCTGATAAGTGATTGAAGGGCTGGAATTTTTGACCTGATTACACCTTCCAAATGCTGAAAAACACAAGATTATTGTTTGTAGAACGGAAAAAAAAAAAAAAAAAAGACAACCTATTTCTTTCAGGGAAAGAGAACTATGAAACTCATGCTCGGTGCTTTCACATACCTTAGAAAGCACCTTCCCTAGATGCTCAGAACCCATCCTGTTAGCAAGATGCCGATATTCTGGGCTATTAACAAAATATTCTCTCTCCCTACGTCGCGCAGCGATCATGTCTACACTTTTGTTAATATCAGCTTGAGAGCGATTAACAACGCCAATCCAGGGAAACTGGAGCTTGTATGATTTTCCTTCAAGGATCTAGAGAAATGAAGAATGTTGGTGAAAGACATTCATGTGGCCAAGAGTGCTAAATATTTCAAAAGTAAAAGGCTCAGGTGCAGTGCAGCAGAACTTTTGGATATCATCCCTGATCTTAACCTACCAATTGTCACATTGGACTGAGGAAAGCAAAATTAGCACATAGAGGGGAAAGTTATTTATGAAGCTTGGTTCATGCCTGGCAAACCCCAATCTTTGCCACATCTAAAACCAAATCCTTCACCGATACCAAAGCAAATACTTAGCCGATGTCTCTGTTAGCACTTCACTTAAGGGAAGATGAAATATGTTTCCAACTCCTCGACAGTGGAAACTTGAATTGACTAATTCCTTCTTCTTCTTTTTTTGATAAAAGGAAATAGAGAATTGACTCATTGTTGTTCCCAGCTAGTGTTTGATTAGAAAGGAAAATTCCATATTGAACCAGAGTGCAACTTTCTAAGATGGAAGATTTAAGGATAAGATTTCCGGCAAAGTGTCAAAAGGAAATCAACAAGACTGTACACTCAGTTTCCAGAACTGAATGCATCAATTGAAGTGATTTCAAAGACAAAGTATGTCGCCTATCCAACAAAGAGGAGAGACATGCCACTTCACCAACGAATACTTAACATACACTCAGCTCATTTTAACAACATAAAAAATTGAGAAGAACTAGCTTACATCAACTGCATCAGTGCCCTTGTCCATCAGATCAATCTTTGTCAAAACTCCAAAAGTTCTTTCACCTTAAAATCGACGTGCATACAAAGATAAAGTCAATTCCCTTATGTGTTAAGAGCATTAACAGAAAAAGAACATATCATTCACACAATCATCTTTAAAACAGAAAATCATCACATGCAGGACTAATAGGTTTTAGATGAAAGTTCCAATGTCCAATTTCTTGTTTTTAACGACCCCGAGTCCCAGCCAGATAATCTATGCCATTAGTAAAAAAGAAATGGAATGAGTGAAGCCTCTTGATATTAAAAGAAAATGTAGAACTCACAGTAAGCACCCTCTACTAACTCGATAAATTGCCTCGAGGTGGTAAAGGTAACAATCGGTCAAAGCATCCCAGGCAGCCACGCGTTAAGACTAGAGATCCATACTAATGTTATGATATGATAACATTCTTTAAATGCATCTGTTCAATTCTACATCTTATGTATCATAGGATGCTTAAATAACTTAGCTGATAAATCAGACCTTGTCGCAACCCAGTTGATAAATCAAACTTCCACCCTACTTACACTTCCAATTTCATGTTGCACAGGCAAGGCCCACTACAGGAAGACAAAACCCTATGCTGCTTATGTCTACTATTTTTTCTACTTCTTCTTAAAGTCAACATAACTTCAATTCACCAAATCCGCTCTACTCTTTCCTTCCTTTTCCTTTAGCTCATTTATTTCCTTAACCAATTAATCTTAGATGTTAGTCCATCCATCCACGTTTTAGAAAAAAGATTGGTCTCAAAAGTGCCACAAAACAAAGCGACACATTTCATTAATTCTTCTCCTAAACTTACCTCTAGGATCTACTTCACGGGAGATTTTAATTGCATCTGAGGTAGCAAGATCTTGGTTGGCAGGGGATATTGCCAAAATGATGCAATTGGGCTGAAACAGGAAAGTAAATAGCTTAATAAAGTTCGTCCATGCAGATTCAACCCAAGAAAGCAAAAAATAAAAAGAAGAATTAAGTTTGTCCATGAAAAGATTCACCAAATTGAGTGGTTAAAGACATCGTGATTGCTAAATATGGCATGAGAAACTTCTCTACTGTATAATTTACCAAATGCAAGTGACGGAAAATTTATGCAGTGATCATTATCAAGTGCTTTTGGTGCATGCTTTCTGAAGTGTATTCTGCCTTAATGTAAAAAAATGAAGTTCATATCATTCTTTATTGAACCAGTTACAACATTATCTTCTTCCAGTCTCATTTAACTTAAAAAGTAATTTTCGAGATTAATAATGCTTACCTTCTCAATATAGGACCGAACCATATTCTCAATGTCTTGCACAATGCTATCGGGTTGACCCTCTTCAATACAAAAAAAGAACTTTGGCTGTTAAACATTTATAACACATAGAGAAACAACTGTTTACCAAAAATGAAAGAATAAAGAAACCACGACTCACCAACTGCAACCTTTGTAAGCCCAGGAAGGTCAATCAAAGTCAGATTCACAACTGCAAAGGTTGCATATTGGATGTAAGCATTGGAAAGCTGAAACATCTAATGGACATTTGACCAGCAAAGGAACACGTGAAGAGGTAATTGTGAACCAAAAAGGAAAAAAGCACAAGTTGATCAAACCTTTAACACTGGAAGTTTTTTTTTTTTTTTGGGAAAACTTTAGTGGACATTCCTTTTTGGTCATTCAGTGAAATTATCCATTTCAAAGGTACAGAGACCTAACATCATCACTCTATTGTCTAATTCTTGAAACGAAAGAACCATAAATGGGCATCACTCATGTCTTACCATTAGGAGAGAAGATGCTTAGATGGATAGGAACGCCGGAAATTTGTTTGCTTCGGCCAGTCTCTCGATCAGTCTCATCAGCGATCTCCTTTCTAACAGCAGCTATATGACAGACAAAACTGATAAGCATCTATGAGCTAAAGGAAACAAATCAAAGAGTCAAATTTGGTGTTCTAGATTTCTGTCATATGCACAAATGGAAACAATGGAAGAACAACTTGTGATGACTTTACTAAGAATAGCTAGCTCAAGGAAAATGAGAACAGAAAGGAATAGCTAATAACAAAAAGCTCAAACAAATATACTTATATGTGAAGATGGTGTACCAAAATCAGTGAACCTCTTCCTTGGGAGGTGCATAAACTCAGCATATTCTCGTCCTTCATCAATCTTGTGAAGCTGCAGAACAAGAGGGCGCCGGGTAACAATCCCTGCATAAAAAGGATTCCTATCACATCCAAGATCCAACCGCCAAGGGAAAAAATGCCAGAAACCAGGAAACTATTATTAGACAGGGTGCACGGTCCCAAAGAGAAAATACCAGATCCACGAGGCAAAAAATCCTTCCCAACAACGCTCTCCAGAACTGAAGATTTCCCAGAGCTCTACAATAAAAAAAGATCAGATAAAATGGTCAAGCGCATTTATCAATCATAACCCTTCAGCTTTTACGTATATGCTCAACTACCTCCAAGAAAGAGGGAGGAGCAGAGGCGGTATTCTAAAGATGTTAATTGTATTCAAGATTTATCAGAAACAGGAAAACTACCGGTAACTTGAGGAACGCCAGCATCAGCAGACAGTGAGTTTCCAAAATGAATAATCAGCAATATATTTATTTTTAAGCAATTGCAAATTAACTCGATCTCAATAGACGATGTCCTCTAAAAAATAGGCAACCTAACTGCCTAAAATGAAAAATTCGGGCCTTTCAAGTGATTTGGCAAAATTATGTCAATTTAAGTGCTAAGCTACCATCATAATTTTTCTACTCATCAAGTTTGCTAGCACAGTTAACCGGAGAAACTGTGTAGAGCTTTGAACTTCAAAGCTGCAGGCAGTGAAGAAAGCATTGGAGAACGACTGAGATCGAGCAACAGTCATTATCGTATTGAGTCAGCACAATGACTCGCCATCTCGTATCGAGGATGAATGGAAACTATTCTAATCCATCGATCCGATTGGCGAGCTTTAAGACTACAGTGAATTGAAAGTACAATTTAAAGTGCAGGGGAAGAATATAAGAGGGTCGGAAAACTCGCAACAGCGGCAATAGCAGCTTAGGATCAACATCTATGCTTGCAAAGACTCTGATCATCGAACAATGAGCAGCAAAGTATTCCAATAAGCAACAACGAAATTGACCAACCGATGCAAATGTCTCGGTCAACCCCAAAAAAGCAACAAGCAAAAAGGGAAAAGCCAGCAAAAGGCATCGATCCTGTCTCGTGAAGGAGCCGATCATCGCCCAAAAGCCAATATCAGACGAAGCATCCGACACCTCCAACGTGAACGACGTGCATATACGAAAACGGGTGTCACGTACAGGTACTGGAATAGATAGGCACACGCAAACGCGATGAGATTCAGAGCGAGAAAGAGAGAGAGAGAGAGAGAGACCTGGCCGCCGACGACGGCGATGGAAGGCAAGGAGTCCCAGAGAGTAGGAAGAGCGCTCTCGTCGCCGTGATCGCCGAGGGCCGTGCAGGCTCTCTGAATCTTGTTGACCAGCGTGATCAGGTTCTCCATCGCCGGGGCTCAAGCTCGGAACTCGGATCGCCGCGATATCGCCGCAGAGCTTTTCTGCTGACGGTTGTTGCTTACGGAAATGCGCGTGAGGCTATGGAGAGAGAGAGAGAGAGAGAGAGAGACGGAGAGAGAGATCGCGTTCAAAAGTTTGCGAAGATAATTAGGAAGGAGGAGAACTGGGGTCGGTGTGGAAGAAAACCGAAACGCATCAGAGAACTTCCCCACGAAGGATCACAATGACAACGCTCTCTCTTTTTCCCTGGTTTTTTCAAGTTTCCACGGTCCAAGCCGACCACGTCGTTGAACGAGGCAACTCTGTTTTCCCATTCCATTCTGTCGACTCAGCTAAAGCCTGAGGTGGGTTGGGCTTTAAAGATGGAGGTGGGATTTGCTCGTGCATTTGCATCTTGGGCTTTACTGGCCAGTATACCCGATAACCAGGTCAACTGATCCTCATCATGCTCTCTCTACTTTGGATCATCAACAGATTCATTTTATCTGCTAAACTTTAGCTTTGCTCATAAGAAACCTATCTCCATCTTATCATTAATCTCACAATCTTAGTCATATCGAGATTTCTCGTCCTTACGATGAAATTAAGCGGCGTGATTTTTAGTGTACCGATATCCCCTCCCCCTCCCGAAAATATATTGACTTTTGAGGATTAGGGTCGATATTGGTTAGTCTCTTTATAAGTATTCAGCACGGTTATCATATTAACCACGATATGCTTAATTATAGAGATTAATCAATATAGCCGCGTATTTGCAAGAACCAATTTTTCATGTTGATTGAACCAACTATGTGTAAACTCATTCTCCTTTTTGGCTCTGACCGATGCGTTGTTCCTCAACTATTTTTTTTTTTTTTTGGTCGAAGTTGTTCCTCAACTTGAATTGCCACAAATTTGAAGATTTTATAAGCATCCAAATTTCCGCATCATAGAGCCCTGTGCTTGATGCCTCGTTCTTTGCCACAAGTCTCGGAGTCCTCATCTCCTATAAAAGGCTCTCATCAGTTTCTGGTAGGCTCTCCTTCTCCCTTCATCTGTCTCTCTCTCTCTTAACTGTCCTGAAATGCAGACTGTAGTCAAGGCAAGGCCTTCTGATGGATTGTGTCGGCTTCGAGTCCACCTTTAGCTGTGTTTCCTGTAGCCCCACAATCGCTTCAGGCAAGCCTCTTCTTCATGCTACTGCACGCTGTTCATTCCTTAAATTTTCCAACTTTAGGAAACTCAGAAGCTCTTCATCTTCAGCTTCTTTCAGACCACCTTCAAACACCAAAAACTCTCTTACGAACCGAAATAACAACTTCTGGGGCTTAGTTAAAATCTTGCAGAATATCAAAGATTCGATTTTTTCGCGAATACAGGGATGGGATTCCGGCATACAAGCCTGTAGCGATTCCCAGAAGGTTTGGGATAGTCATAGAGATAATTACTTACAGAACGGAGGGATAGGGGTAGCTCTGGTTAGCGTAACGTCCAATGTGAAGGTCAAGATCAGTCCTTTCGTGGCGACATTGGCGTCCAATCCCACGTTTGTTTCGGGTTTGTTCGCGTGGTTTGTTGCGCAATCGATTAAGGTGATATTGAACTTCTTCGTGGAGAAGAAGTGGGATTTGAGGATACTGTTTGCTTCGGGAGGGATGCCTTCTTCTCACTCTGCTCTCTGTACTGCACTGACAACGTCGGTGGCACTCTGTCACGGCATCTCGGATTCATTGTTCCCTGTTTGTCTGGGGTTTAGCTCGATTGTTATGTATGACGCGATTGGTGTGCGGCGACATGCTGGGATGCAAGCCGAGGTGAGGGTTGTTTGTTTTGTGTACATTAGGCTGCTGGCTTTGATGAGGTTTATTCTGCATTGTTATGTCAGAGATATTTATTTCTCTACGTCAATAGTTAATGCATATAGCTTGTTTGCCGTTTTGCTGATAAAGACTTAATCTGGAGACAATTTGCATAATTGCAGTTTTTGTAGGAAATTTGGTGTTCTATGTAGTGTTGTCAGTTATGTCATTGAGTTTCCTGTAAATGATTCAGGAAACATTACACAGCATCTGTGCTGCTACAGCTGACTAGTCTTTTTGAAGCATATAGTTGCAGAGGATGCTCTAGTATTTGGTGGACAGATAGTGTTTGATGAATGCATTTGAGAAGTATATAATCTCTTAAGTGTGTACTCTATATATGTTGTCACGCAAAAATAAAAGTAGAAATCAAAGTGCTGTCCCGTAGAGCGAATTTTTTGGGATGGGAATCAAGATTGGTTTTCTTAGAGTCAGTTCAGAAAGTATAGAAAGATTAAACTGGTCAAGCTAATGAAATGTTGTTATGCGTCATGCTTTCGCATGGCGGATGTATTACGGGGTCAGAGTTTGTTCCCTGTGATCTTGTTCTATGAATTTCATACTTGGTCCCTTCCTTTTTGTGGAGTACTGGATGTGCAATTAGAGCTGGCTTAACTGAGGCGCTTCAAATTAATATGAAGAGGAGCACAAAGTTTAGTTCTCGGTGATGTTTAAATTTTGGGGTAAAGAAGAATGATGCTAGTGATATTTAGTTTCTGCTGTGCTGATGATGGATGGATGGATGATTGGACAGACGCTCGACATCTCTCATGATTTACCGGTGGAAGATGCATGTTTGGCAGAATTCAGAGTTTAAGTCTGCATTAAAAAAAATGGGTAGTATAGATCTACTAAGGGGCCAAGCTGATGGGAAGTTGGCTTGTTGCATGTGGAGGTCTTGTTGGGTGTTTTATAGTCTGCATTCAATTAAGCTGTAATGGCTGGCTAAGTGTTGACCGTTGCGGTCTCTTTGGTTGTGATGCCACCTCCTTTTTTTGTCTTTATTGGTTGAAGTTGATAGGCTAAACATTCTCTAAGCTGAAGGAAGCAAAGCCTGATGCTCATATTAATAAGGCACCCAAAATTCCTTGGCGGAACAGGAAACCTCCTCATAGAAAAACCCCTATTCCTCTTCCTGCTGATAATGAAAGATCAGGGCAGACCCCATGGGCTTGTGAGAAAACCAAAACTTTGAATTCCATTTTTGCTAACCAACGCCACTTGTGGTCTTAGAAATTCCTCCTTCACCTTCACCCCTCAAATTATAGGATCTGCAAGCTTTGCTGCTTTGAACAGCTATCCATTCAAACCTTTGGTCTTGTACCTGTGGGGTTCGACCCCCCTTGGCTGTGGAAATTGTTGCACCTCCCGCAGGGGGCTACTGCTCTCACCACGCACTTGCCTCACCATCTGAGTTTCACTATCAAGCAGTTCTATTTGTTGGTTAGTGCTTTGGCAGTTGCATGTCTTAAGCATGGTCCCAGTCGAGACAATAGAAGTTAGAAAACCCCCAAAAGGAAGTAGGAACATGAGGATTTTAGTGTTAATAGAAGTTTTTGCTAATATATTTCCATATTCATTGGAAAGTTTCCTCTTCTCTCACTATTGGCCTATCACTGTCTTCCTTTGTTTGTTTTTCACTGCGCTTCTACCGTTGGATGAATCATTTTTCAGTTTGTTGGCAATCATTTGATCGGTCTGTCTGTTGTTATAGGAGCATGCCATGAAGTCATTAACCATGATTGAAATACCATCCATCAACATAGATTGGTTAAATTTTCTTACGAGCCTAATGGGGATTGATCACTGCAGGTTCTCAATATGATCGTTGAGGATCTGTTTCAAGGGCATCCAATCAGCCAGAGAAAGCTCAAAGAACTTCTCGGGCACACGCCGTCACAAGTCTTTGCAGGAGCTCTGCTTGGGATTCTTGTTGCCTGTATTTGTTGTCAGGGTTGCTTAGTTACAACCTGATTGTTTTGCAGGCTGCCTTTGTATCAAACAAATAATGCAACATTTTCCATGGTTGGATAATGTCAAAAATGGATGGAAATCGATTCTTTTCTCTTCCTATTTTATTGAGCTTGTCAGCGGCAATAAAGTCAGAAGAGCTTTGGTACAGGATACAATTTTCTTTGGACTAAACTGGGTTGAAACTAGCTTGATATGTCCTTGCTTTGCTTTTTGTATTTTCCTCCCATTCGAAACGCATTTTGCTACCCTTGGCCATCTCCAGCATAAACTGTGTTACTGAATATCAGCCTCTCAGCCAACTCAAAGGAAAAATATTTACATGACATGGCCTGGCTAGTTGCGCCGCAGTCTGATGGCATTTAAGACACAGAAAATGAATTATGCGACAGCCGAGAGCAAGTGAGAGCAAATGTTAGCAATGCAATGTATGATAGGGGTTGGATTTGGAGTGTCATTGTGACTTTAGGCATTTTTTGTGACACGTGTTAATGTCCTGCTTGTCATTTAATTGGGACAACATAAACAAAAAGTGATAACACGTATCGTTTCATCACTAAATATTTTAACTTGATTAAAATAATTCTTCTAAAAAATGGATGAAAATACCTCGATTCATGTCAAAATCAAGTTATATCATGTTGGGTTGGGATTTCTTTAAGCAAAATTTGGGCGGTGCAAGGAAATGATTCATTTGAGACGGCGCTCTCTATCCAATCATCTCATAAATCTATCCGGTGAGAGTGTACTTTTTCGTTAGGAAAATGTATTTTTTATCCTATGCCAATAAATTTTGAAAGAGTTCAATAGTGTCAAAAAATTATTAGTAGAGAGATTTGTCAACCATCTGATTTCTCGGTAACTTATTAATATGTTATTAACATTTTAATGAAATCACCAACTCCTTTGTGAGTTTGCATAGTATTGGTTTTTCTCGCTTTTACCATTTTTTTATTGGGGTAAGTGCAAAAGCAAGATTTAATATTTTGATAATTGGTCAATCGAGAACTTAAAAGGTTCTGTTTTACCCAATTGAGGATTTAAGGTATTAAAAAAGTCAAAATCAGGTCTCGAACTCGCCATGGATGAAATTCAGGCGTAAAAAATCCGACGTGTTTCCCACTTATTTCCGACACCTAAATTCCACCAGTGACGAGTTGAAGACCTGATCGGAGTTCTTCTAAACCTTATAACAACCAAAACTTTTTATTCGTGTTTCCGCACTTATCTCAATTTTATTTGTTTGTCTTGATAACGCCTCAAATTTATCAATTTTATATGAATTCATTGATTTTTATTTGAATGACATTTTCTTTTTCTTATTAATTCACCAACTAAATTTAAATGTTACCGATTTTCCTTCGAGTTACTTACCAACGAATATTTAATATTTTTAATTTCTCAATTTTAATTGTAGTTTACCAAAATTCATTTGCCTTTCTACAAGGCGCATATTATATATATATAAAACCTATACACGGATTTGCCGATTTTTATTTGTACGATTTATCACTATTCATTCGCCATTCTCGCACGCACTCCCCGCTAGATGTTTGGACCTCTGACTTTCGTGCTTCACCCGCCGCCGTCCCGGGAAGGTGACACCGCCACCTGTTCCTCGTTTGTCGGCTCTCGTGGGTTTTTTAACCCGGAAAGAGATCTTTCATTTACTGCTTAAAGAAAAGTTTGGTGAGATATTCAGGCGCATCGGAGCCAGGTTGGAACACGATCACTCGTGGGCTCGCGACAGAAACGATTTCCTGCTGTTTCTGGGTTCGAGTTTGTCTTCGGGTTCCGGAGTGAGTGGTATGGCTTTTCTGCTTCGCTCCTGTACTCAAGACTCCGGAAGAAAAACACCCATTACATGAAAACGAGCGAGCTCTGTTGTAGTTATGATGAATATAAGTTGGAACCATGGCTTGACTGTCACTGATTGGACCCAGGTTCTTTGTCTTTCTATTAATTCCCACGATCCCATGCATCTACGGTTATGTCTTCATCGTCTTTTACTTGTTAACCTGAGTATTAGTATCATGCAAAATTGGTTATGTGCTCTCTTGTAGGGAAAGCTGGGAGTTCCCATGAATGCTTATTGCTTGTCGTGTGAAGCTGATTGTGTTGTCAGTCTTTTACTTTGTAGTTTGATGCCAATGCCAAATGGGTCAGTCTATAACTGGTGTTCTTGTGGCAGGTAATTCTTTTTGTCTTAATTGAAAGAGCATTGTTGCATAGGAATTAATCATTGAGCTGGACTGGAGCTTAATTTGGTAAATAATGGGTTGTGCTCCCTCCAAGCACGCCACCAAGAGTGCCACACCTGAAGCCGAACCATCAAGTGCATCGGCCGAACATATTTCCCTTGCTTCTGAAACGCCTTGTGAGTGCCTTGCTCATCCCCTTGTTATCCTTGCCTATTTGGAGTTTCCAAGGCGAAATCTTGTAACCATTTTTGTCGAGCAGCCACATTCATGACTTGATAATGCATTGAAGCACACTGTTAGGTCCCTCCTCCTTCCTACCACTTCTCTGCCCATCCCAAAAGAGAAAGAAATTTAGAAAGGGATGGTGTACTTTCATTTATCAATTCATTTTGCTGCTTGGACATGGACCATAGACAAGTTCCTTTAAACCTGCTAACAAATTTCATTTGATGTTTTTGCAAATATTCTATAGATTCATGAGCATTAGTTTAGAGGATGACATGCTTCGCCTTGGTCGATCAAGGTATCAAAAATGTAGTTGATTGGAAGTTTAGCTTGCGATGAGTTATCAAGTTTCCTATATGTGTTAATACTCTGTTATGCCTTTTTTTGGAGGCTGCTGGTAATTGACAGACCCTGTGTCACCTGCAGTTACTGTTAGTGAAGTGGAATCTTTGTATGAGCTATTCAAAAAGCTAAGCACTTCTGTGATCAAGGATGGGCTTATACACAAGGTATCCTGCTCCCTCCCACGCGTGGGGATAGAAATAAATGGTATCTATACAACAGTGTATTCTACCCTAGTCTGACCTAACATTTCTTTCTATTTGTGTGCTAGGAAGAACTTCAGCTTGCACTTTTTCAAAATAGCAAGAAGAGGAGCCTTTTTCTGGATAGGGTATGATTTCTAACCTCGTTGGGGAAAATACGTCTTTTCTGCTGCCAATTACCTGCTACGAAGCTCGAAGTCTACAGAAGGTTTTTGACGTGCATCCAAGAGATAATAAAGTAGAAGAATTGTGTAAAATCTAGGTCATCTTATTAAGGGAAAATGTTAGCATGACATAGCCAAAAGTTAAAACTGCAACACATTCTGTTGGTGAAAAAGCTAAGCATGTGCTCAATAAGTACCTTGGTGCCTCTTTTTGTGTCAGCTGTCACGTATGGATACTAATCAATTAACTGCAGAAGACAGCAAAAGTCACTCTTAATGAGTATTATGCATTTGACAACTATACTTTTTATCTCTCTGTATCATTTTATGGGGAATATGCTTTTTCTTTTTCCGTGAATTAGCCTTCCATAATTAGCATATCCCTGCCACTTCTGCAGATGTTTGATCTCTTTGATGTCAACCGAAATGGACACATTGAATTTGGCGAATTCGTTCGATCATTGTCAGTTTTCCACCCAAAAACTCCTTATGCAGTCAAAGCTTCATGTAAGAAGCAGAGTAGAAAACATTCTTACGGTGTTATGACCTTTATGAGTCTCTCCGCAGGGATGTTCAATCTCTGAGTACCTTATATTCTTTAGTTCTACGGTTCAGAATTCATGCTATGCATTTGCTAGTACTAAAAGGAGGTTGTATTTTATGACAGATGCTTTCAAATTGTATGATCTACGGCAGACTGGTTACATCGAACGGGTGGAGGTAAGCATATTAATCCAACATGCTTCAACATGAGGTAGATGAGGCTGCTTCACTACTTGTTTAGATTGTTTCTCCATGAGTTTTGAATCCTCTTCCGGCCAAAAGGGGAGAGCTCTCTCTCTCTCTCTCTCATCTACACAGGTGCTCCAATTGACCATGTAAAAACTTGCTAATACTTATTCTCACATGAACTCTTGATTTCGATCCCAAGTGCTTGACAAAAATAATCTTTAAAAAGTAAGGCCACTGGATGCTCTCGATTTGATGCCATCTTGACTGTTGAAATCCCAATCCAAGTACGATCTGCAACCTATTAAACGTATGGCTCTTAACCTAGATCTTGATTTGCTACAATCTTTGTAGTATTCCGATCCTAATCAATGAAACCTCGGGGGTTGGTATCATTGATGTACAAACTTTTCCTTCAAAGTTTCTTTCCAATTTGATCCTTTAGACACTGTGATTGATCCTTTCATGTTTATTGATATTAGCAATTTAGGTTCGAAACTACTGAGGATCTGGCATACTCGACGCATGCTTCTAAACTTAAAAGTAAACAGTAAAAAAAATTGTTGAAATTAATTACTTGTTACCTATGAATTATAAGTCTTCATGTTCTTTTACTAAGCATATATTTTGGCATATTTACAGTTGAAAGAAATGGTGTTGGCCCTTTTGAGTGAATCTGAGCTAAATCTATCAGATGATGTTGTAGAAATGATTGTGGACAAGGTAAAGAACGACATCTATGTAGTGTGTATGATAACAAGTATTCTGTCTTTTCTAGTTCTCTTGCTTATTTACTTGCTCTCTTTAAACAGACATTTGTGGAAGCAGATGCAAAAGGCGAGGGAAGAATTGATGAAGAAGAGTGGAAAGAGTATGTGGCAAAGAACCCCTTGATGCTGAAGAACATGACTCTTCCATATCTGATGTACGTCAGATGTCAATAACATCACTTTCAATAAAAGTTTGCTCATCCGATCTTATGCACTTGTGTATAGAAGTAGCATCTTTCTACATAGCTTGACCCTGTGTTTTCTTGGCCATTATCATGAGAATTAGCATCTTTCTGTATCTGAAGCACGTCAATTACTTCATTTGTGTGGTTTACACGTGCTCAGCCAGGATATAATCTCATTCATTTCTTTCAGAGAAAAATTTTGGGTAAAAACTAGCATCTTGGCATGCTTTGCATTGTTGAAATTGGCCTCCTTTTTAATGGATTTCGTAGATGTTGAATTTACTTTCCTTTATGTTTTTTATTTTTGGGTTTTCATTTCTGCTGTTAAGTCCTTAGTTCACTACCCTCTGGTCATGAAGGACTCATATATGGTATTTGGTTGTAAATTAACTCTCATTCATGCAAAGGATTGTCAAAGACAAGTTTGCTATTTCCAACTGGCTTACTTAAGTTCGCTTCTCAATGCCTTTTCAGGGACATAACCACATCATTTCCCAGCTTTGTGTTGCCAGGTGAAGCACATGACTAGGAGTCGTAGGCTACAGCGACAGGTTACCTCCAACCGAATGACCTCCTTTTCAAGAAAAAGCCCGTTTTTTTTTTCCAGAAGATGCTGAAAATGTGGAGAGGGATGAATCCTGCATGTTCTTCATCCCTTCATTTAGGAACTAGTTCTCACGATTTAAAACCTTAATTAGGCCTTGTTCTTGTACTCAAACGAAAGAACGTCCCAAATAGGCTAACCACTGAATATTTTCTCTCCCAAATAGGCATTGTCTGTTTCATCCACCTAGTCCGGTTGGCTCCTATTAAAGCCAAATGGCAACAGCTATGCATTTCATATTACCTTTTGTTAATTATGTAGGTTGAAGTTCCACCAGTTGACATATCTGGTCGCACAAAACTTTCGTCCGGTCTATTGGGGCTTAGATGAATTCTCACAGGAGCAGAATAAAAATGCATTTGATTTGAAAGGTATAAGTGCCGTAACTAGGGAGCAATAACTATATGATGGTTTTGCCAATATATAATTGCCATAAACAGAGAAAAGAGTCTTATGTAACGAATAGGTAGTTTTATATGATTCCTTGGTGGTTGACAACCTTATATAATGGAGAACCCATGGTGGTTCTTGTGAAGAACTTCTAAACTCACACCTGATATAAACCATGATTGTACACCAAAACAGGCAACTTCATGTTATATTTCAAAGAAAGAGTTTTAGGGATTTGTCGAGGTCGAATCACAGATGAATGCAGACAACTTACAGGCACCAACCGTTGCGGCATGCAACCGAATGGGATTGATAGTGGAAAGAAGATACATTCCCCTAACATAATCATTACCACATTGATAATCCAAGACTTGAGAAGGAAGAAACAACAGTTGTACGTTTTCCTTAAACAACAAATGAAGGAACGAGCTTGGGACTCCGACGGAAGTGACAAACTTTTACATCTAGAACGGTTGTTTCTTTCCCTCTGTTTTCGTCTGCCCACTTTCGAAGCGCATTAACGTACTTTAGAACAAAGAACCAGATTGAGACGATCTGATAAGGATTCCTGATGATGTTGACAAGTCTGTAGCTGACACTTGGCTTGAATGGCTATGTAACTTGCGTGAGTAAAAGGAACAAATGAAAACGGCCAGAGTGCGGTAAGTGCAACTTCAAGAAAGGATAAGGTGTCTTTCATTGTACAACAACCTCCCCAACCATAAATTGACACAGCTTGTATTCATTTCTGTTGGGGACACACAGACACATTATTTAGCTACTTCTGATTCATGATTGTTGGCTCGACTACAAGCCATGTGTGAACCAGTTTCTTCAGTTCATTCTTTTTAATAAGCTCCTGAAAGTCGTTGATTCTTTTTAATAAGCTCCTGAAAGTCACTTCCTTCGACCTTTGGTTCAGTAAGTCAAAGGGAAAGGTAAAGAAAACGAACAAATTGGATCTAGCGATCACAACTGTCTCTTTGGTATGGTGGTGGAAGTAGTTCATCCGCTCCCTTTAGTATTGGGTTAATGAGGTTGACTCACCAAAAGAAAAAAACAAGAAGAGAAAACAACTTTACTCCAATGAGATCCTTCCTCCAGCAAGACTTTTGGGCACACGAGTGCCCATTTTTTGACTACGATGTGGGAATAGTCTTTCTCAACCCAAGCTCAAGGGAGAAGACGCCATGTTACAGGGTAATAGCAATAGGTCCTGAGGTATATCAGTGCATGCAGTAGCTAGCGTGTTCCGGTATTCGCATTTGATATACCTGATGATCTCTTGCTATGACAACATTGACTAATGCATCATCATGGCACAGAATCACGAAAAACATTATTAACAATTCGTGGATATAATACATTCCAGCATCCTTACAAAGTTAGAGAAATCTTGAGATTGAATTGTCAGAAGACTACATTTCCACCACCTTAGAGCACGCATGAGAGAGAGAGAAAGAGAGAGTGAGAGTGCAAACCATGCTAGCTACACAGGTTGGGTATGCAGGCCCCACCTTCTGGATTCTGCTGCTCTTTCCAAATCCGTCCTGTAACCCGAAGTTTCAGCTCTTTTCTGTCCCCTCCAGAAAAGAAAAGTGCCATGTTGCGCTGTATAATTAGACCATCGTGGCTGTCCCTAACCTTCCTATGGCTATCTCTTATGCTTCGTGGTGTGCCCTCCCATATGAGTTTCCGACCATTCCCCCCAACCTCCAAGCTGTAGCTGTAGTTCCGAGCTTCCATCTCATCACCCATGAAACGGAGAAATGCCATGTAAACAGGAGCCATTCCAAGCTGAAATGCTTCAAAGTGGAGGCAGAAGTATTGTCCAAAGCAGTGGAAGACCTGAACATATGACAGGCGAAAATGGTTTTGGACATGGGCATTCAGTCACAGCTTTGATTCACAGAATGCAGGGGAAGATAGTTTAGGAATTACTTATGGACATATTAACTCTCTTAAAAACTCTATTGCAGTTAAGTACTGAACTTCAAATAGTTCAATTATATGGTAAATATCGCATACAGACTCAGTTCTATCGTTATGAGTACTAGCGGCACTTTAAAGTAGTCAATAATAGTTCAAAACTCGACTGAACAAGCATATCTCACTGTAAACAGAGTAAACTCAGAGTAATTCTGAAGTGTGTGGATGTTGACAAGGCCGCATGATGTACTTTTCGATGTTAAAAGGAATGAAAAAAGTTATGAAAGAAAGGAGGATTCCAGATGATTTTTGATGATTAATTATCTGAAATTAAATCCTTTCCCAATAATGCGACTGCACTTCTTATAGCAACCCTGAGAAACCTTTTCATTAATTAAAGCTGATTTTATCATTTTTTTCCTCACAAAGACCTATAGATCATGGGTGAGTGAATACTCACAGTTAACATCCATGTCGCATTTTCTACTTCGCGCGGATTAGACTTCACATATCGATGGTTGAAAGTGCATCCAGAATGCATATCCACTTTGTGGTCATCCCTCAGATGAGCAACTAGGAATGGAATGTCCCCAGTGACAGAGCACTCTGAGCCGGCATACGGGCAATTGTATGGTCTGAAGTTACAAATAGTCTCATGTTTGAGTTTACTGTAGTAAGGAAATATCTCTGGGCACCCAAGAGAGAAGTACTTGCAAGGCAGCTCAAGTGATTCTGCCACCTTCTCCAATGCAAGACACCTTATATCACCAAGTTCCTGTCTGCACGTGGGACACCTATTATGAACCCTGGTTTTACAGGTTGAGCAAAGTGTATGGCCATTGTGGCACTGCAAGAAGAAAGTTGCATTGATTGTTTAGCCAAACAAACCCCATTCATGAAGGAGCTGCTTCTCTAAGTTCACAACATCCGGAGGAAATATTCAGCAATGTTACTAGAAAGCACAGCGACATTTATATTGAAACAGTCCTTGAAAATACATAAGTTTAGCTAGCATGAAAACTGGCACCTTCCAATAAAGATAACATGTTTCGGTACTCTTGAAGTATTGCTTTAATTAAATAACTAAACGGTAGAATATCATCTTTTAAGGGCACCAAACTAGATATAATCAAGATGAACAACAAAAACAAAAGATAAACAACTAAGAAAATAAAGTTTCATTTCGATGCGTTTGCCTCGAAAGACATAAAAAAGGGATGATTACCTACAATGCTCCAGCTCAGCAAGGGATACAACAAGAAAAGTACCCTCTCTACTGCCCTGATTTCTGAGAAACAGCAAGAGTTTATCTGATGGAATTTCCTCATTATGGCTGAAAAGGCAGCAGATATATCTGGAATTCTTTCTATTTCTTGAACTATAGTACCGAGTGACTCTCATATCTGGATGTTCAAGTCAAGCATTTCTCTCACCAAAATACTGAGCAGCAAGAGCGACAAGCAAATCGACCTTAGACATAACCAAGTTCACATCATAGAGAAGCAACTTTGACAAGTCACTAGAGACATGAAGGGACCATTTTTAGTTTCAAGAAGTTACTTTTGACCCAGCAGCAGCCAAATCCCCCAAGAGCACACCATTATATATAAAGCCAAATCCACCAAAATTTCACCAGCTCATTTCATATAATCCAAGAGGGTTCCTTCATCCCACAGCCCACATGATTCACAAAGTCATACCCCAGAAACTTTCATTATCTCATACAAAAAAATCAATTTTGAAATTGAAGCCGAAATCAACCGGCTAATCAACTCAAACACCATCCAACAAATTGATGGACATACTCACCTACCAATGCCGCAAAGGTGAGGAATGAAGCAGCACAGAAAAGAAAACACCCTGTGAACAGAAAATCGCAGAAACCCGTTGACCCAAAGGGTCAAAATTAGAGAATGACCTGATAAATTGGAGGGTACATCGAATTGGTGCATACTGGGCACTCGAGCAATTCGTGGACGCGGGTGGTGCTGGGAAGAATCGCAGAGGAAACGACGCCATTGCCGTGAGACGACTTGGAAGGGAATTGCTGGTGAAGATGGTGGAGGGGATTCTGCTGGATCTCATCTTCGTCCGTCCCATCTAGGGACGTTACGCATTCGATACTATCGGCTTCCATTCAAACTCCGACAAAATCTGAGCTCGGAAATGTGGGAAAGTCGCCGAATTTGTCGGATTCACAGGTGCCCGACCCGAACCAGGAAAGAGGGGCAGAGGATAAAAGAAGGGAAAGTTTCGATTTTTGAATCGAGTACACGATGGGTATGTCTGGCTCTCCCCCCTCAGAGAATCAGTGAGTATTGATTTCTCAAAGAATGGTGGTGATGAGGAGTGAAAAATTTTACAGAAACGAAACACATTTTCTGCAAAAAGCAGGTTCCTTTCTTCAACAGCTTGGGAGGGAGAGAGAGAGAGAGAGAGAGAGAGAGAGAGAGAAGCGAAATCCGACGGCAGAGAGACCGGCACATGTGTGTGTGTCTTTCGTTTGTGCTCGCGCTGTGCGTGTCGCGTATGAGAAAGATCGATCTCAATAGAAGGGCCCCAGTGGGTGGATGGTGATCGTGAGGATTCGTGAAGGAGGGGATTAGATTACTTAAACACTAAAATTATTGAAATAGTTGGCTGACGCTAATCTGTTCGAATTATATTCTCGCCCCTTTTTCGTCTATGTAGATTCTTGTTCTTGTTATTACACTACCAGCCAGTACGGACATCGGGTCGTGTTACGAAAGGCGTCTGCATCGTTCGAACACACGGGGTCGAGCAGCGAAATTGTCTGCATTCGTCCGAACTTCGGTGTCGAGCTGCTGCTGCATTTGCCGATGTTCTCGTGTGTGTCGCGAGGAGCCTCCAAGAAAGGGAGGAATGAAAGAAGAACGAGTCGTGTTCATCTGAACTTACTTAACCCACCTGCTACGGGCATCGCCCAAAGAGGGATGGGTTTTGGCATCATTCAAGACTTGGGTTCGACGTTACTTCCCCTGCCGCGAGAGCACTTCCCTTTTTACTTTTCGGCCGCACCTGTCTTGAGCTACCAATCATCCCCCAAAAAGCTACACAAATGACTGACCCTTGTCCAAGCCCTGTTCACTGCTTCTGTAGCAGTACTTACTACATTTCTCGTATCCGTTCGAGTTCTTGATTTTTCCCATTAACTCTGAAAAATGCCGCCGATCGTCTGACCCGACGGTGAATGAGTGCTCGAGGTTGAGCAAGTCAGGGCGTTTAGGTTAGGCCGGGGGATCAAATCCCGTTGCAATTTCATGAAAACGGCTATTGGAAAAAGTTCTTCCGTTCGAGTTCAGCTTCTCTCATAAACTCTATGACAAAATTGCACTTGCTCGCAATCTTTGAGATGGGTGTTTCTGCTCTAAACATAAACGCGAGAGAATAAGGCGTATTAGTGAGTCAAGCTATTTCACTTTTTCTTAGTTACAAGGGCCAAAACATACTCAGGAGTCGCTCAAAAGCTATTTGATTGAGAGTTGCTCAAAATTGACTCTTCCGGTACTTTGAATTCAACTCGTTTCTTCTCGAGTCGGAGTCAAGTTCGAGCACTTGATTAAGCTTAATCCAATAATCTAGTTAATTATTTGTTTTGTGACATATATGTAAATATTCTAAACCACTAGTACTTTCAAATGTACATATTGTGCTTTAGGAATTCAAGCTCCAGAGCGAATTCAAACCTAGCTTGAGCTTTTAAACTTCTACTTGCTGATTGAGTTGATTCCAAGTCAAGCTCACCTTCGTTGAAAACTAAACTAAGTTGACTTGAGCCCAATATTGATAAATCAACCTCGAGTGCATGGTCGAGTCAAGTCGACTCTGACCACAAAATTGTTATTAACTCAATTGGCCTTGCTTGAATCCATATAGCTAGAAAAATATACGAAAAGAGAAAAATCGTATGAGTTTCTAGCTTCCTGTACCACAACAGTAGGCATCATATAATAACAGTCCTAACTCTACCGTGTCTTTTGTTTCATCTCTTCTGGAACAATCGCAAACATTTTTTTTTTATTGTGGATCTACTACCATAAATTCAATGTGTAATCTTAACACTTAATTCTAAATAATCTCATTATTTCAATTATTGAACCATTTCAAATGACAAATACAAACATGGAACAACCCTATATATAAATAGAATATAAGAATAAGTAAGAGTAGAAAGAAGATAAGAAAACTTCCTACTTCAACGTTTTATAGGTTCAATCGTTGCTCAACTGGAGATTCACCCTAAAATTAGTGTTATGGTCAAGAAAAGTAATTTACACAAACGTTTTTTACCAAATGATTTGGTATATCTAGCAACAAAGGAGGAGGTCTTTGCGCTCACGCTGGAGTTAATCTGGTCCGTCACATTATTAGAGGATATATATGTCTAAAGAAACAAAGAACGAATGGACTGAATTGCCAACAACCCTAAAACTTGATCCTGAGCAAGAATCTGCTATGAGTGTATAAAACAGAGTTCCCTTCCCTTCACACATAAGAAGCTCCTCGTACAGGGACACTATGAGGTCACCATGCAGAGCAATCCTAAGATACAAGCAGCTCCTCGTACAGGGACACCGCGACTTTGATGATTCATCCCATCCTTGCAGTCCACGACATTAAGATGTAAAAGAAAAGGTTGGCTATAAAACAGAGAATCAGTGGCAATCTTACCAATGTTCATTATATGAGCGCCAAAATGAAGCATTGCCTGGATGTATCCCTCCAAATACCATCACTTTCCTCTAGACCAATCCCCGCTCTTCCCACCAGTTTTGCGCTCAAGTCTCACGTCTGAAATCTGGATATCCTTTGAAGCAGCCTTGCACATATCATATACTGTAAGACCAGCGATGGTCACAGCTGTCATTGCTTCCATCTCGACCCCGGTTTTCTCGGAACACGTAGCTTCCCCTTCTATTTCCACGCTTAAGTCGTCAGGGTTCAGCTTCAGATCAACGCGAACATGAGTCAGTGTGATGTTGTGACACAGCGGAATGAGGTTGCTTGTATGCTTCGCCCCACTTATCCCCGCGATCTTGGCCACGCTCAGGACATCTCCCTTGGCCATCTGGTTGGCGGACACCAAATCGAACACCTTCTTCCCCAGCATCACTTTGCAGCTGGCAGTGGCAGTTCGCTTGCTAATTACTTTGGGAGAAACATCGACCATTTGAGCTTCTCCTGTATTGCCGACATGCGTCAAGCCACCTAAACCCACTTCAGATCCTTGAGAGGTAAATTGGGTTTCCTGTGCCATAACGCCATCCGCCGTAGAAGTGCCAAATCCATTTGATGGCCGCTCACCAAAAACAACTTCCATTTCCTGATGCGAATTCCGTATCCCCAAACATGTTAGCTTCCAACAAAATGTTATAACGGACTAAATAACAACAACGAATCAAGAGGGCAGCCGATCACATCAAGTTTTAAGCTGTAGGAAAATGCATCCTATGTATTTCATATCTCCATCAATGTGATCGTTGTCTGCCTCCGAACCTTGTTACCACTGTTATTTTTCTCTCAATTTTCTGGACATAGATCACCTTACCTTACCTTATTCAGTTCGGCAATGGTTCCGGCTAGATCACATCTGGTGTTACTGCAAAAGGGTCTCGCCAAAGCAGCAAACTTTGCGGAAAGTCGACGAAGCAACATGCTAGCTTGATTCCGCCAGAGCTCAAACTACCGCAGAAGCTGGAGAAACATAAGCGGGCAATAGCCGGTGAGAGGAAACTAAACTAAAATTTCAGAAGCAGGACGCAAGCCAAGTCCGCCATCCAATCACTAGACGATGTCAAAGTCAAAGAGCTTCGTTAGAGATGCATATATCTATACGACTCTCCGGGCAAGCAGAAGCACATTTCATGGCAGTCGAGCATTTTAGCAAACAGGTGGAGGGCGCGACCGGCGAACAGAGTTGTACTCAAGCAAAAGGAAGGAAACAGGAAAGCCAAACCTTCAAACGCCATCAAAGGTACACACCTGACACCTGGACGTCGCAGTCGATTCTTGGTAAGCTTCTTGCAAATTATTGAAGTCTTTCAATGTCTATGAGCCTATCTGACTTAGTTGCAGATCCCGCATTCATTTTTCTTGCAGGGTAGAAGATGGTTATTGGCTGTGCCGCTACATGTAGCGAAGATATATCCAGATAACAATAATTACTTGGGAAAATTCCAAATACAGATAACAATAAGTAATCTCATTTTTTCAAATAATGACCTTAAAATGGATCTTGTATTAAATAATGATATGAAGTATCTTTATTTTCTCAAATAAAGATCTAAAGTAAATATTATCTCAAATAAAAGTTTGAAGTGATCATCTTTAATCTCAATAAAAGGCCTAACTTCATTGGAATCAAGGACATTTTCATCTTTTAATTTTTTCGATTTTTTACCTTTTTTTTCTTCTTTTGGCCTTTTGAGCTTTTTCTCATAAAAAACAAACTAAAAAAAAGCTAAAGTTAAAAAAAAGTAAAAGGGAGGTCGGCCAACCCTCCTATGGCCACCGCCCCATCGCCGGTGGGGCAAGAGCCCCGGCTAGGGAGTGGAGGGCTGCTCCCTTTGTTTTTTTTTCTCTCTATTTTTTGAACTTTTTAAATTTTTAATCTATTTTAACTAAAAAAATATTTTTTCACGAAAATGCTTTTGACTTGCCGAAATTTGGTCGGCCGGATGAGGCTCTTATTTGAAACTATTATAGTTACTTCAGAACCATATTTGAGAAAATAAAAGTACTACAGATCCTTATTTGAGACACGATCTATTTCAGATTCTTATTTGAGAACATGAAAGTACTAAGTACTTCGTACCCTCGTTTAGAATACTTTAATAAAAAAAAAACTCCTTTTTAAATAGGAAAAGCGCCGGATATATATAATGGGGGCTCGGTAAGAGACAGAGAGCTCAAACTGAAAAAGCTCCTCCCGCCCATCCACAACCACAATCATGGAGACGAGGCAGAAGATCGAAGAGACGGTCATGGCGATCCTGCGGAGCGCCGACATGGAAGCCATGACCGAGTTCAAGCTCCGGAACGAGGCCTCCGAGAAGCTAGGCTTCGATCTCTCCGACATCGACAGCAAGAAGTTGGTGCGAAGCGTCCTGGAGTCGTTCCTCCTCTCCGACGCTGCGGGCGAGGACGGGGGCAAGGGGGGCGAACCGGACGTCCGAGGGGAGGCCGGCGAGGTCGCCGCGGCAGCACAGGCGAGGGAAGTGAAGATGGAGCTCGGCGAAAGTGGAGGACGCGTCATTTGTGAGGTTGAAAGTGAAACCCTATGGCATTGTAGAGGAAGTGAACTTCTTGGTCGTCACTTAGTTTTTGTCTGCTAATTCATTGGTGAGATTGAACTCAGCTGCATAAATCGTGTTCGAAAGCCATGGCTGTCCGGGTTTGCGAAGAGGTGCCTATATGTATTTCTTTAAGGTTCGGATTGCGCACGCACAAGCATCTCTTGTACCGGACAGTCGAAAAGGCGAAGATGATAGTTCTGCAAAAGCTTTATCAGATGCAGTCTCTTTGTTAGCTGAAGAAAATGGGATTATAGGCAAATTTGAATTGTAGCTGTCTAGTTTGCTGAGGCTAACTTAGGGTGCATGAAAGAGGAATCCTTACTCTAGAAGCCCTGCGGCTGCAAGTAACACCTGAATAAGATTGGTGAGGAGTAGACAAAGTGCAATCGGCAGTAGTAAATCCAATATTGTAGATTCTCACTTGGCAGTAGTAGATAAGTGCAACATGCAGTTGTAAATCTAACATTTTAGATTCTCACTTGGTGGGTAATGTCTCTCCTTGGATTTTTCGTGGTTTTCCTTGGTTGGCAATTGGGACTTAGCTCCAGAACCTCTAAAGGCTCTACTTGCGTTGCCGTTAAAACAGTTGGTACTGACTAGTGACATTTTCATTATATTCCTCTTGTGGCTGACTGATTATTCTGCATTCTGTGATTAGATAAGCCACATCAACAACTTTTAAATCGTCATTTGATGTTGGTGTAGCTGTCAGATAGGAGGTATGTGGCTCTTCAAGATTATAACGGCACAAATATGGTATCGATAAGGGACTACTATATCAAAGATGGAAAGAATTTTCCCAGTGCTAAAGGTGATTGCACATGTATAACATTCTCTCCTCTATCTACATCTACAATGATGCTCGTCTTTTTGTTCTAGCTGGTTCAGGTATAATAATTGTGAGTAGGCGTTCTTACTCTTTGCTGCCTGTGAGCTTTCCTAAGGTTTGATGACAATGGTTTATCTGATCACTGATTGATGCTGCATATAATTGACACTTGTGTTTATGTCGTTAAGATCTGCAATTCCAACTGCTTCAGTGACTTTTGCTTAAAGAGTATGTTTGTCTCAGTATAATTCTGTGGGTTTCTATCAACACTGTGTGTCTCTTTCTCTTGTATTGACTCCATAATGCTGCTCTTTGCGTAAAGTTGTATAAATGTGTTGTGGTGGCCTCTGAACCTCTAACTATAAATATTTACTGTAATGTGCTGAGATTGAAATCCCATAGCATTAGAGCACTGTTGCACGGATGGGTCTCTCCTTTGGAGCTTTCTATGGATTTGCATTGGCTTGGGAATTTTTATGTGTAGAAGACAACAATATGTCAAATATGATCATATTATTGAGGCAAGAGATACGTGGAAGTTATGAGTGTGAGATGGGCATAGTAAGTAAGGAAGTGTCTGATATACATTTACTTACCCTTTTCTCTATGTCTCCAAGCATTAGAGCACTGTTGCACGGATGGGTCTCTCTTTCTCTCTCTCTCTGCTCATCCAACGTCCATTACCTTCGTCTCAAGCCTATATGGAAGGATGACACATCCGTGAACTATCTGAGAAGATTACTATAACTTATCTTTAGGTCCAAGAACTGTTTTTGCTTATTTGTTATACTGCCTAGTCATAAATGTTAATGCTGTACATTGCTATCTTATTTTTCTTTTGTCACTCTAGATTTTTGCAGTCCTGTATGTTTTTCTGAATTTTATAAGCATTTTTGTCCATGTTTTTGCTGGATCTGTAGTTTTCCCTTTATTGCCATCAAGCGTGTTTATGCAAATATTAAGCCTGTTCTGATGCATTCTAGGAATTAACTTAACAAAAGACCAATGGTCAGCTTTGAGCAGCAGTCTCCCTTCTATAGAGGAAGCCATTAAAAAGATGGAGTCAAAATTAAGGTGAGAATATCATGTTGGTAATCTAACTGATTATTGATGTATATTCATAATGGTCAGGGCTCAGGGATGTAATCCTCCACACTTGTGATGTGATTCCTCCTGACCAATACACAATGATAAGTGAATACTTGTTTCCATTCTCTATCAAAGAGCACTCTTTTTACAAAAACATTCTGCCGATTGGCCATTGAATGGTTTTTATCAATTGATTGCTGCAGGCCGCAAACCATTGATGTTGCCCTCGATGATGTTTCTAACTCAATGGCCACATTAGTTCAGGGTCTTGTACCCATTGAGATTAATCGTTTTGATGGAAAGAACTATCACCACTGGGCAGAACAGATGGAGTTTTTCCTGAAGCAATTAAAGATTGCATATGTTCTCACTGATCCACGCCCAGTGGCCAATTTAATACCAGAAGCAAGCAGTGGAGAAATTGCTCGAGTAAAAGCTGCTGAAGAGAAATGGATGAATGACGACTACATTTGCCGTCGCAACATATTGAGTTCTCTGTCAGATGATCTCTTCTATAAGTACTCACAGAAAACTCACAGTGCAAAAGATCTGTGGGAAAAGCTAAGACTAGTTTATCTTTATGAAGAATGTGGGACTAAGAGATTGCAAGTCAAAAGGTATATTGAATTTGAGATGGTTGATGGTAAATCAGTCGTTGAGCAAGTCCAGGAGTTGAATAGAATGGCAGATTCAATTGCGGCTGCTGGAATTTCGGTAGATGAGAATTTCCATGTCAGTGTCATCATATCTAAACTACCTCCATCTTGGAAGGATTTCTGCTTGAAGTTGATGCACTATGAGCATTTGTCTTTCCAGGTGCTGATGAATCATTTAAGGGTTGAGGAAGAGTTGCACAATCAATACAAGTCCAAGGAACCTCATGATATTCATGGTATTCAGCCATCAGGGAAAGTTAGATCCAGCAATAACAGTATAAGGAACTCTGGAAAATCTCCGAAAATAAGAGAGTCTGAGACAGTTGGCAAGCCGGTGGTTTGCTATAGTTGTGGTAAGAAGGGACACTATTCGAAGCATTGCCGAAGTAGGAAAAGTGACAAGGAAGCTAATATTGTAAAAGAGTCGGAAAATCTCGCTTAAACTACACAAACAGACGTGAGACATTGCCGATGACACTTCTAGAGTAATTTTTGGATATACAGCGCTTCCAAGTAGTAGCACTCTGTATACATGCTTGTTTTTCTGCATTGAAGCCGTTGTCTGCAGGACTTGAATTAGGAGATCACTTTGCCGTGAAATTTTCAACTGAGGGCTGCCATTTATCCAATAGCTTTACTTTCGAAGTTGGTGATTCAATGTATTATATTGGATTTTGGCGTTGGCACTTGCTGTGAAAAAAGTATAGGGAGATTAATAGCATAAAGAAATCACCAACTTTGCGCTTTTCCAATCTAAAGCATTTTCATTCACAAATATAGATTTTGGTGTTGGACAGCGAGCAGATACATGTCAACTTAGTGAGTGTCTCTACTTTTTCTTGGACAAGGTTGAAGCAAAGCATTGCTTCCCAAAAGCAAAAAGGTTGAAGGAAAGTGTTGGCACTGGAATTGTGCCATTGTTCGCATAATGCTCACACAGCAAGCTTTTTGTTTTTTTCCTGATTAACTTTATATTTTCCCAGCCTGTGATAAGCAATTTGACTTTTTCATGTAGAACCAATTTAGGGGTTTTGTAGTCTTTGATGCCTAGGATGACATACTGTGACAATTCTCGTGCCGCCATACGTTCTCGGTGCAACTGTCCTCCAGTGTTCAATAGCTGCAAGTTACCTAAATTCATGCCATTGCGATGCTCCATGCGAGCCCCTCTTGCTGTTATCTGGTAACGCAGCCCACAAGGAACACACTTTGACGAAACGAAACATTCGGCGCACATTTCTTTTGTGAAAGTAACCAGGACACGTCAGTTCGCAGGCTCAGATTCATTCCTCCTAGAAAGCAGAGGCCGTGATAAAGATCGACTGTGGCAAATGAGATAAACGTGTTAGTACTTTCAGGTTAAAACTGACTTCGAAGAATTCAAAATTGATCAGGCGACAGAGACAGCTTTCCGCTTCAGTGGAAGAGCACTTCAGGGACCAAGACTGACAAAAAAAAAGTCCGCGCAGATAGTGCACCGAATGGAAGAAAGGGCAATCTGGAAACTCAACTGCTTCGTTCACATGTTAAATGCAAAATGATTCCTCATCTTCCATTGTAAGTACTACATCAAAGTTTCAAACTACAGATAATTCGACGAAGAACCCGAACTGAGGAGTATTAACGAAAAGAAAGTGAATACAAAAACTGAGGGTAAACCATCAAAAGGGAAAAATTATAAAGAGAAACTATATTAATGTTCAGAACAACCACAAATGGTATAGACTTACAGACTCAATTCAACTTTCAAGAATATTTCCTTATGAGAGGATTGTTTACCATAAAAAAAAAACAAAAAATGAAAGTAAATTTGCTGTCCTAATTGGTCAACAGGAAGTCATTTTTCTCCTTTTGGCTCAACCACTTCTTAAGGAAACTCTGCAGCAATCCAAAACTCTGATCGAGCTTCCAAAGGGGCTTTCCCTATGTATTACGCCTATCCACTATAGCATAAGCGAACATCGCCCATTAGCCAACAGACGACAATGGCTCTAAGGAGTTGGATTCACGGGAAAATGCTGCAGTTAACTTCTCCTTGGTCATCTGTTCAGACCCTTGCGACTTTATCAGAAATGTATGAAACACAGTGTCGTTGGCTGTCGAAAGCTTCGAGTCGAGAACGGTGACCTGCGCCTCTTGGAAAGCCTGGATGACTCTTGATGCGGGATGAGAATTCAAAGGACAGCTGACCCTCACAACGACCTCATCGGCAGCAGTAGCTTGGACATCAACATCCGGAGCTTGGTTCGATTGCTCCGCGTTGGCATCAACCTCGACAGCTGATGCATCTCTCGAAGTGCTTCCAAACCTCTCCCGATCTGCTTCCATGATTTTGAGCTTTGCTTGAAGCTCGTTTATATAAGCAATGGCATCTCCTAATAAGGAAGCTTTATCCATCTTGGATATATTAGGCACCACTGCACGAAGAGCGTAGAACCTCTGGTTCAGCTTCTCGCGTCGCTGCCGCTCTGCCTCCACATGATTGAGAGGTTCTTCTCTTCCATTTGCAGGCTTCCGGCCTCGTTTTCTTGGTCTCTTCTCGTTCGCTGCCCCACCCTGCTCTTCCTTGCACGAAGCTTCAACATCAGAATGCTCAGAGTCAGCGGTGAATGGTCGGGCCATCACAGAAGGCCTTGAAGTGGCACCCGTAAAGTCGATTTGCATTTGCACCTGCTTTTGTGCTTGGTAGCGGTTCAACCCAATATCGTTCCTACCACCATTCATCCGCTCCTCTAGCTTACTGGCCGAGGTTTGAGAACCATAAAATTCGACAGGACTCGCCTGTTTTACGCCATGAGCATGAGGCCAACTTGCGTCATGGGTACCGTTTCTAGGGGTTGAAAATGCGAGTTTACCTCCGTTATGGTAAGCTTCCCACGAAGGCCTGGGGTCCATCTTTCTAACGGCGAGTTTCTCCCTAAAATGGCCATGGCCATGACCATGACTGTTACTTGTGCTCAATTCCTGCCCAAATATCTTGGAGATTCCCTCTCCCTTACTTGCCAGCGCCAAATTGGAGAAGGGGGCATTTTCGTCCTTCTTGTCGTTCGTCACGGGTAAGGCTGCTATTGGCTTAGCCAGCGCGAATGAATTTGCCGAGAAAGACAATCTTATGGACTTCAACACCTCCGAGCTTTCGGGTACAGATCTAACCGAACCCAGCTCTACAACCCCAACGTCAGTCGGAACCAAAATTATTGTCTGAATCCCCGCAGACTTTGCAAGAAATGACCGAACACAGTAATCAGAGGACGACTTGAGTGCATCCGTCAGCCATACGTGCTTCCGCGAAGCAAAACACTTGCCTGGACCCCCTTCTCCCGTGGGAAACAAGAAGTACATGGACGCCAGAAAGAACATCTCCATATCCGTCACCCGGTCCAAACCAAGCGCGTAATTGTCCTCATCCGACCCGCCAAAGACGGTATGCAGCTTGTCCAGCACCCGCTTCCTCATCCTCTGCAGGCACTCGTCCTCGAGTCTCAAATTGAGGATTCGAGTCGCTTCGGATTCTTCTCCATCTTTCGGCTCCCTACAGGACCCATCCCCCCAACCCAACAGCCAATCCCCCGACTTAGACCTAGAAATTTGCCAGAAGATGGCATAGTTCCAGCTAAAGTTGGAAGAGTCGGGGTGGTCCACGAGATCCGAGAGCTTGTTTTGCAAATTCTCGTCACTCCCAATGGACATCAGGAGATTGTCATTCGAAACCGAGCTGGACACCAAGTAATCGAACGCCCGGGTTCCTAAGACCGCAGCAACCATAGCTTTCTCTTCATCATTCCAAGGCCCATCCCCAACACCTAGCTCTATCTTCATCCCTACCCCCGCACAAACAAAAAACCCACGACCCTCGCCACAAAATCCCTCGAAGCTCGAAAACCCAGATCGAATCTCAGCTAGCGAAACCCACCAAAGCAACACAAAAACCCTCGCTTCCTACTACGGAAAACTCCAAATCCTCACGCATTCGACGGATAAACAGGAATCCCCCCGAATCCTGCCCCCCTCAACGTCGGCCATGGCTATAAATTCACAGATCTCGATTACCACCGCTAGGGAAGCATAACAACCGGGAGGGGAAAAGGAAACTGAGAAACCGGAACCAAAAAGCGCAAAACGAAATCCCAGACGAGATACGAACCGGCGGGAGGGGAGCAGCAGCAGCAGCAGGAGCAGGAGCAGGGGAGTCAAATGGGATCATGAGACAATCGCCGCAATCGGGCGGCGCGGACTGCCCGCGCGCGCGCGCGCGGAGGGAGTGGAGGAATTCGTGCAGCTTCTTCCTCTCCTCCTTTCCCGGGTGAAAGAGCGGGAGGAACACGCGCGCGCACACAGGGGGGGGCTCTCGGTGGGGGGAGGGCGCGAAGAGGAGGATGGAGGAATTCTTTCGGCCGGAAAAACAGAACAGTTTCGGCTAAAATGGGTACGAGAAAAAATGGAGGAAAGCAGGGTTGGGGGGTTGGGTGCTTTAAGCTTTTTCTCTTTTGTAGGCATGTACGATGAGGGAGAGAGAGAGAGAGAGAGAGAGAGAATTTGTAAAGCTCTGGGAGCCCAGGAAACTGGCAGGGGGGAGGGGGGAACCGGGGTTAGGGTTAGGGGTGAGGGAGTAACCGTGGTTAGTTTGGGGGGGGCGGTGGTGGTGGTGGGGAAACGTGATTAGGGAGGACTTCGGGGTTTTGAGGGAGGGGAGGGGAGGGGAGGGGTTGGCTTTTAATTAAAGGGGCTTAAAACGAGGTCAGTGTTGTTATAGCAGTAAACGATGTCACGTTAAGCACGGTCTCTCTCTTTTTCTCCCTCTCTCTCTCTCTCTCTCTCTTTTGTTCTCTTATTTTTATTATTTATTTTTATTTCTATTTGCGGCGTTATTTCCTCCTTTTTTCTTTCTTTCTTTCTTTTTGTTTTTTTTATGGTGGTGATGATTTTAATGTCCTTCCTTTGTGTTGTTGTGCTTCACTGTTTCTGCATGTCGCTTTTTTATCCTCTCTTTCTTTGCTTTGTGGGTACCCACACCCACGCACATGAGGTTGCGTGAACCTCATGCCCCCCACATTTACTATCCGCACATGAACCACCTGTGACTGCCCTTAATCCCCCCCTCCCCCCTAATATTCGATATTTTCCCATAAATTTTTCTTTTATAATATTAGATATTGCCGAGAGCGCGCAACAAAATTCCAATACTTTCATTAAAAAAAAAAAAGGACCCGAGTTCTAGACAATCAATATATCCGATTGGACCTAACTTTACTGGGATATATTAACTGTTTCACATCACACCAACTTTGCGATGTAAGACTTTTCTCGATACAATTCGCGCGTGCATCTCAACAATAAATCATCCGTGAATAATTCTTTTGGAGGTTTATGCTTTTTTAGAGCAAATTGTGTTTCTTTTCGGGAATCATGTGCATCCACTGGGATGGTTTGCGTAAACGAAAACTTTCATAGATATCGGAGATATCGGGGAAAAATAAAATCCACCAAACAACTCGAAAGGTCCGAAATATTATTGAAAGAAAAGAATGATGTATGATTAAATGTCACGTTGGCATGTGGAGGAGACAATCGATCGAACACTGTTCGTGCAGACTTTTGCGCGTCACTCCCTCCCTCCATGATTTAGGACGGTGTGCTGTTCGTGCGTTGCGTGTCCGGTCGAAAATATGAATCCATGCAAATTCGCCTTTTTTTTCTTCTCCTTCTTCTTTTTCTCCTTCTCCTTCTTCTTTTTCTTTGGGGTCGAAAAGATCCCACGATCTAATTTTGCGAGCAGCTCAGCCCCGCATGATGCGTTTCTTTCCTACCTTAATTTCCTCGAAGATGCCCAGACCAAGCGGGTGGTACTATGAAAAGGTACGAATCCTGAACGGGGCGTCACAGGGACGCGGAAAAGGACGAGGCTACCCTCGGGTGGGTCCCCGAGTCAAAGGGTCAAAGCGTCGGATGATTGGTCCGCGTCGAATGAATCCTGGCCGTCGTTTCTACGGAGAACGGATGCTTCTCTCTTTTTGGGGGCATCATCCCCACCCGCCTCGGTGAAACAACAAAAATAGATAGAGAAAGGCGGGCCTCATGAGGCCGAGCAATCCATGTCGAGTTTAAGGTGACAATTAAGGATATCCTAATTGTAAAGTCAAGCTGGGGAAAAACAAAAGATTAAACATTAGAATATTCATAGATTAAAACTACACATTCATCTACTATCTCGAGCTTTTAGAGCAATTTCGCAAGCGTCTTTCGGGTCCTTTGTATATGTGTGTGTGTTCACACTTATCTAGCACCAAAATCCAATCTACAAAGGAAAAACGCCACAAAAAATTTTAAATTGTGCCTCCCGTGACATATTGATCCTCAAAAAAAAAATTGTGACGTCAAAGATCCGAAATTATGCCGACTGTGACATAAAATATTTCTTGTGACAATCCCAAACTTGTACCTATGTTGCATATCTATCCTCCGTCAAGGTTATGTCGGATGATTTTTCAATCAAGATAATGTCGTTTTTATTTCACCACAACTACTCTGACGGAAGAGGGTAAACGTGTTACACAAGTGCAAGTTTGAGATATTAAATTTAGGGTGAAAGTGTTAAAATGAGCATGGTTTATGATTTTTTTTTTTCGCGACTCTTGTCCAAATATAAATGATAATTCATGAGTGGGGGAACGATGATATTTATTGAAAGTCATGCATGTGGTGTTTTCGAGGCTCGTATTCGCGTTTACACGGCCGTGCGTGATAAGCGTGAACGAAGTCAAAAAAAGAAAGAAGTCACGCGATGCAAAGCGGGAAACGACATGTACGACTCGTGCCCTCCTCCTCCCCCGCCTCCGGCTTTCCTCATTCGTTCGCCACCCCCCGCGAGGAGGAGGAGGAGGAGGGGGGGGGGGGGAAGGGACGGTGGTGGGCCCCCTCCCCAGGCCCCCGTCCTTTCACGCGTTTTCGGGCGACTCTCTTCCTCCCTTCTCGTCGACGAGAGCGAGAGAGAGAGCGAGAGAGAGAGAGATGGTCGTCTCGTTTTTGTCCTTGTTCTCGCGCCGAGAGGAAACTTAAATTCATGGTCCGTGAAAAAGAGCGAAAAAAAAAGAAGAAGAGAGAGGAGTGCTGTTTCTCCCCACCGTTTTCACGTCTCGTGACGCGACCGGTCCCCCTTTGTAAACCGCCGCGGGAATTGCCTTGTCGCGTCGCGTGGGGCCCACCCTCCCGCCTCTCGCTCGCCTCCCGAGATGATGAAGAGCAGTCGGACACGTTTTACCATCGCCCCATTTCTTTTTTACCCCACCCCGTCACCCACGGCGCACGCTTACCACGTGGGAGGGAAGGTGCGACTGGGTCGGGACACGTGTCTCGAATCTTATCGACTCCTCCTCCTCGTCGGTCACGAGACGGGATAGGAAGGAGAGAGGGGGCCCGTGAAGGGGCACATGGGTTTTGACGTCAGCCCAGCGGGGCCCACCCCCCCCCCCAACACCACGACGACCCTAATTACGAACGAAAAAAAAGGGTGAGAAGAACGTGCTCGGCGCTCGGCGGTCACGTGAGCTCCGCGTGACTTCCGATCTTTTTCTTGGTTATTTTTTTCCTTTTACTCTTTTGTTCGTTTACTTGGGCTGCGAATGACAACAATTCTGTCTCAGAAATTAATTTCTGGCCAGAAATAGTCGATTTATGTTCCTGGACGAGTTTCTGAGCAAAAAAACACGTTTGATAACGATACAAAATTTCTGTTCCCGAAACAAAAATTTATTTGATAACGGCACAAAATTTCTCCATATCCGGTGGCCGGCGAGTGGATGTCGGACGGATGGTGGCGGCAGATGGCGGGCGGCGGACTGTGGCAGCGAACGGCGGGGGGAGGCTATGACATCCTCAATTTGGGACAATACGACCAAAGATAAATGGTAATGGAATGGGCGAACGGTTCGGTCCAAGGGTCGGTAATGAAACAGATAACATGGTCGGAATGAGTGTGCTGAGGATTGGTCATGATTCGATCGAAAGATTGCCCATGGATTGGCCATAAGATCGACAATGAAATGACGCCCCGATCACGTAAGTCAATTAGAGTAATATGACTGTGGATTGACCCTTCGACCATAAAAGCCGTTAGTGGGAAGGTCCAGGACGGCCATGGATCAGTGCCATGTCGGCATGTGTCGGTCGCGGGTGATTCCGCACAACCATGCATCAGTCGCGGATGACCATGGATTAATCTCGTAGTACTTAATTCCACATGGTTACATGACAACCGAGGGTCGACCATGGGTCGTTGATACTCAAACGTGGACTGGTTGCGAATCGGCCATGGATCGACACGTTGAGTCGGGTAGGCCATGGACGAGCCATGTGCCAGGCCAAGAGCTCAGTGGCTTGGTCGCAAACCAGGCTTCGTGCCGGCCGCGCTGGCTAGGCCTTGTGCCCGATCATGGACCGGCCCTTGTACCCGTCGGCTAGGCCACGGACCAGCTACGTGCCAGGCCATGTGCCAATTATTATGCCCGATCCTTGTGCCAGGTATTGTGCCCATCAGATCCGATTCCGACCTAATACCGTGCCAACCAGACTTGGCCCCAGATCGTGCATTGTGCCTATCCATGAGCCAATGCAAGTGTTTGGTTTGTATGTCGGCCCCTCGCTCGTGTGGCCTAGCATTGCACTCGGCGCACCGCTCGTGCGGCCCAGCACTATGCTCGTGCACTCAACTCTGTACCCGGCCCTGCGCCCACATAGCCCGGCAATGTGCCAAGCCTTGCCCCCGGTTCGGCCCGACTGGATAGGCCACGCGCATGGTCAGTCCGGCTGACCTAACCTTGCACCATTTAACTCGGATTTTGGCTCAGTCATGTTTGGTCATACTTGAAAATATTCCTACACCGAACCTCGATTCAAATAGATTGGTCGATCGTTTTAGTTCCGTAAATTCCCCTTTACTTATTCATCTTTGCTAAGTATCATTATGGATTTTGGAGGACATACACAATAGGATTTCGGAAGTTATGCTTAAATGCCATGAACCGGTTGTCCTTAGTAAACTATTAGGTACCCTTGATGAACAAGAACAAGCCTTACTCAGCCAAGCTTGGAGAGCAAGAAGCCGAATAGACCAAGTCAACATTGAACCAATAATTGAGGGCTAATCATTAGTGAGGATCTTATCTTATAAGATCTCCAATAATTGAGAAGTTCTTGAGTATTCTAGAGGAGCCACACGCCCAAAAGCTTGGAGAACAAGAAGAAATGAAGACCAAGTCAATGAATTATTAGAGGAACCATCATTAGA